TTAATATTTCCCTTTCTTTGGGTCTTTTAATTTAGCTCTCTTTCATCAACTCCATCCTGTAACTCACCTTAATATTTCCCTCTCTTTGGCTCTTTTTAGCTCTCTCTCATCATGAGCTTTCTTGATTGCTCTGGCGCGCTTTGAATCGTTTTCCTGTCAAAAGAAAAATAACGTAGCAACGGTTTTGAAAATGTGACAAACAACTGCACACTAAAATATCGATACGAAAACTGCTTGGGCACAAATAGAACATCGTTGTGAAGGCCTCGACAGTATATAATAGTAATAATAACAATACATTTGTAAAGGGCCAATCCATAAAGATGGTCCAAGGCGCGCCTGATGGCTTTGTCTTTATTCATCTAGAAGAGTATCAAAGCTCCCAAGAATCTTCACCTTAAGGAATTTGTCAAATTTGAGAAGTGACTCCTTAAGTTGGTACTCTTTCCTCTCCAGTTCTTCCCGTCGTTGCTAGAGACTCTCCATCTTCATCTGGAACTCCTGATGGCACAAAAACAGTAGGAAAGAGAGGTCACTGATGCAATTGAATTTTGATGATGCAAGAATAACTAAAATCTGTATGTATGAAGACCAGAGTCCAGATAGGCTGCATCAAGTACACACTTTCAAGGTCAAGGAGCCCACACATGCACTCAAATTAAAAAAGAAATGTTTGTCGATTTTTGCAAAGAATTTGTATTTCAGCCTTATTTAAGAACTGTCCACTTTCTTTCAATGACTTATGAGAATGTCTGTTGACATAAATACTTGTATATGTGACCAAACCTAGGAAACTGATTCATAGGTCTTTGGATTTAAATGGCCTTTAAAGGAACCTTACACAAAATCAATAGGAACTCTGAACATTTTTCATCCATATAATGTCTTTTTTCATCAGGATGTTGAGGTGAGTGATACATCAAAACAAAAAGTTCAATTTGCTCATTTAAATGTAACTTAATAGCAATTATTATGGCAAGTAGGACTTTAAGACTCATTGCATGGGACCTGGTCAACCTTGCTTGACCGTCTATCTTCACAGTAAAGGTCAAAAACTCGCACTTGACATGAAGTAAAGTTCTGATCAACGATTCAGTCTGACTGCTTTCCACCGACCTCTTTTTGAGCTCCCAGGGCTTGTTCGACCTCTGACATCTCTCGGCGTTTCTCCAGGAGTCTGGTAGCCGGAGTCAGGTGGTCGTCCTCTCGCTCTGGCATTTTTCTGCCAAACCAAAGATAGAAAATAAACATATCTGAACATGTTTAATCCTTTGTCGTGTACAAGCTGGCTTCTACATCATAATTGTAACATTATTCAGGCATTCGTCAATCAATATAGTTTAAGTCGTCCAATATCTTCCTGTTTTTAGCAAAAGTCATCCACGGGAAGGCAGAATGCTGTAAAAAGCAATCCAGGCTCTACATCATTATATGAATTACAGCGATGCTCGTACACACATCTCAGCTTATGACAACATTACAGCAATTCAGTGTGACAGTTCCAATTATTTGATGCATATTCTCTGTGAGGACCAACAACGCAGGATCAAATCCAGTCTTAGCTAGGCGGGATTGAAATCTTTATAGGGAGATTTGTAAGTTTTTTATTCTATACACCAGATCATGACTGAAGAGGCAATTTGGAGATTTTAATTACCATTTTTAAATAAAAAATTAACAGGCTTTAAATTAATAAACAGATATACCTTAGACAGTTTCCTTGTACAACAACATGCAACATGACCATGAATTAACATTTGATAAAGCCCGCTGCGATTTGATAAAGCCCATTGCGATTTGATAAAGCCCACTGCAATTTGATAATTCCCGCTGCATAAAAATGCACGGGCACTTTGATACAAGTCTAATCCATTTCTATTGGACAGGAGTCTGCGTGTGCCACTGCACGCTGCACTCGCCCTATTTGCGGCAAGTCCATCTAAGGACATTCCTCTGGACTACTTGGATAATGAATTAAAATTCTTGAACAAAATCTTTGGAAATTTAAATTTAAACAGTATTTATGAATGAGAATAAATACATGTTTGTGCTTGGTCGGTCTTAAGATACCTGTATGTGCTTGGTCAGTCTTCTATAGGCGTAGGCCTATATATACTAGGCCTTCTATATGCCTTACCAAAGAAGTCCAAACTATTAAAAAACACACCATTTCATGGCCATGAAATGTACAATAATCCTACATCAGCTTATATTATTTATTATATGAGGATAAATAAGAACACATTCTAAGCACATAGGCCTACAGCCATTTCTCCGCAATATAACACCACAACCACTATCCATTAGAAAAAAAGGGAAAGGCCACACTCTGACTCTGGAAATGGACATGAGTAATACATGAATTAGGCCTGTACTGTAGGCGCGGCCTAGGCCTACATGTAGGTTCCAATTTTGACAGTCAAAGAAATTCACTCACACGAGGAGCTTGTCCTCAAATGTTGTCCTGAAATATTCTTCTAGGCTCACGGTCATCTTGGATCACAGTAATTACAGTTCAAATGAAGAAAAGTCCAAAATAATTGACGTTAATATCACAGCGGTAAATAGTCCACGCTACGATACGATGAACCTGTGTAGACATCACTTAGCAACATCAGCTTGACCATTTTGCAACACTTGGTGGCGCCCTCGCGTGACCTCTTGATATCTCCAAAAATGGCGACAAACGGGAGACATTTGCTGCTGCGCTCTTCACAACTTCTGCGAAATGCAGTTATTATTAATCACGCCCCTGCTTTACAGAGGTAAACAATTCACGAATTGGTTTTCTATCTCCAATTAAAGCACGTTTTAATGCCATAGAAGCTGCTCTTCGAGAAAATTTCAGTGCTTCAAAGAGGGATAGAAACTCGTCGGCTCGTCATGCTCGTGCGTCGTGGTCATCAGGTTATAGTGGGAGTGGTTTAGCATTAAAAGCAGATTTTTGCTCTCCTTTGCAGAACAGAAGAGGGCACTTTTCGCCCTGATCGCGGAATTATGCTCAAGGTCGGGTTGACATCACCACGTCTTGGTTCTTCTCTCCGATTGGTTAATACGGGCGATTTACACAATAGTGCGCCTCCACAAATGTATGCAACAGGGTATTGTTGACCATTCACAACGTGCAAAATCTGTGGACCCTTTCCAAACGCGCATTTGGTTGACAGATTTCGCGCACTGTGATTGGTCAACACGTTGCAAACTCTTGGAGGTGCACTATTGTGAAATACCCATATTGGTGGCTGTTCCATATTTTACACTCAACCTAAACTTGAGTCAAAGGGGCAAAAAAAGTGTTGTCAACTCTTAACCTTTACTCCAATTATGCCTGAAATTTCACTGTTTATGCACTCTGAATATCTCCCACACTGTACTATTATTGTTTAAGTCATTTTTATTATGTTGCAGCAAAAAAGGAAGAAAACATGCAAATCCCTGCACAGAGTGAATGGAGAGTTGCTCCTTTGCCCAGACTTAGGAACCTAAGTTCCTACTTAGCCCCAGTAGGAACCCCCAAATCAGATTAAAGTTCATGACCATATCATTGCCATTTCCCTAATTCTGTCATTTACTGTGAAACCTACAAGATTTCACAAAATGAAGGACCTAACAACTAGAGTCACAGATATTAGGTACTGCAATAGTATTATCTTACTTGTAGCCCCTGGTGGCATGCCTTAATGTGACTTTCCCATTAGAATCCATTCAGAGCAGGAACAATAGAGGGCGTATTTTGAAATGAAATTGACAGTCGTCGTTTGGTACGCATTCACCGCATAGTCGCGCAAGCTTATGCGTGTTTGATACAAAGCACAGTGAGTACGCGCGTTGAATTTAGTCTGGAAATATGGTCTTCGCGTGCATGTTGAATGCCTGCAAGAGCCCGGTTGGATAACTGAATACCGTCTGTCTTTCATCAGTGAGTGTGCACTGTAGCTCGGGGTGGATAAACCTTTTTCAGTTTAGCAGCGAAGAAAGTCACTTACAATTGAGGAAAAATCTACAGAAAAGCAAGGCAGTTGGCAAGAAAAGAGTCGGTGGAAACGAGAAACAACTTTATTGTTTTACATGGCCTTGTAGCAAAAATACAACATACAACCTTCTGTCTTTACCTTAGGTCCTACTCATCAGACAGGGAAGGATGGCTAAACAAACTCCTACATGTCAAAAAGGTAGAACCAGCAAAGGCCGCCCACTCAGAGGCTCTCACCAACAAAGATGTCGTCTATGAAATGCAGAGTAAGTCCTGCATCACATTATATCAAGTTGCCCGCAGCAGTTTTGGTCCTTTCTTCCTGCACCACATTGCATGCCCTCAGTTGTATAAATTCAGAACGAATCAGTTTATGACAGATCATTTTCCTTCCCTTACAGTTCACAACATCAAACCAGACAGGATGAGGGAGTACATCCAAGCATCGTAGGTTGATTTTCAAATTTTTTGTGTCTAAGTACGCATTGTCACACAAGACAGTTTGTGCGCATTTTTGCTTTAATAGGTAAAAGCCTACTCATGCCTGCAAAGTTGATTAAATGAGACAAATAAATTGCCTTGACCAAATATTCACTCCAAATGAGTTGACATTGACCAAAGTGCTTAGTAAGCACATAAATTTTCCTTTGTAATAGTTAACTTCAACATTTCCAGATCCATCAAAATTCACCAGGTTTGAGAGGATTTTGTAGGATTGAGGAAGGTAGACTCTACCCACTAGTATGAACATTAGGCTTCATGCTCTTTGGAATATAAGGGAAGTGAAAGTGCTACGAGGTACTAGCAGTGTTGGGAATTGTTTTAAGGGTTCCGAGTAAAACAAGTCTTGAGTTTGGGTTTGAAGCATCGCATCTCAATCCTAAAGTACGTCTCATCAAGAAAGTTTTCTGTCATTGTCTTTCCTCTACTGCATTGTGATCTAAGAGATGCCACTAGAAATAATCAAGGCTTGTATGGTTGTTTGTCTGTTTATTCGTTGATATTATAGGGAGCACTGTCTGAAGAGAATTCACGAGAATCCAGATTTTCCCTGCTCGCTGTTTGGCAGCTGGAGTACAGCATTTGGTCATCAGGATCAAGCAAGTAATGCCAGGAGTGTGCTTTTGGTTGAGCAGGGAAAAATTTACCACAGTGGGGCTCTAACCTACAAAACCCCTAAAAGGGCACATCAGTACATTCAAACCCTATGTTGGTTGTCTCCTATGTTTTTGATGCTTGGGTGCTGTTTGAAGCCACGAGGCAGTTGTGGCTTGTGTCTTCTGACGTGGAACCCCCCAAGACCTTGACCAAATGAAACTCTTTGTTTTTTATCTCTCTTTTCATACGCCTTGTGTAGATATTCTTTGCACCTGCTCATTTGACTACAGTGCACTGTTGTTACTGTAAGCTTTGCTAACGGTGTTCTTCTCTGCTAAACAGATTTTGTTTTGTCTCTCAGTTCACATCTGGTACTACAATGATGGCTACCGTGCTGTCAAGACAATGTCGGAGAAGCTGTGGGTCGATAAGGTACACGTACAATTTAACCCTAACCGCCAAGTATATTGTTTGGCTTACACTACACAGTACTACAAAGTACTAAGTAATAGCCTGAGCCTGAAGGACCTAGGGCTACAGATTACTACTTCTGGCTAGGTTACTTCCATTGTTACTTGTACAGAGAACAATAAAGCCATGCATTCATAGTGCCACAGCACTGTATGGTACATTGTCTTTTCTGTTGTATTTTATGGCTTTAGAGAACAATATGGTCATGTCCTCTTACAAACGGCAGCACTGATTACTACATTTTACTACAAGTAGTAATTTGTAGTACTATGTAGGGTTAGGGTTAATAACACTGATCACATCATCACAAGTACATACCAAGAGAATCACAAGACGTTCAGTCTTGAGTCAGAGCCACAAGCTGTGTCAAAGAACTGTGATGGGGGGGGGCCTTGCTTTGTCACTGTCTCCAGGCACACCTGATCAAGCTTAGGCACTGACTTGTAGACTTGTCCAGGAGTTCAACTATGTTGTGTTAACAATGAGGAGTTAACATGAGTAGGTTTCCAGAGTGGTCCAAGGAGGTTGGACTGGTTGACTGGAACAGGATTTGGACCTGTGACCTTCAGATTACTCTACCAATGCCCTACCAGCTGAGCTGTCTGGCCTTGTGTTTTTCTTCAATCCTCTGCATGTATTTATTCAGAGGGGGCTTTGTAACTACATCCGTCGGGATTCCTTTGTTTTAAGAGTTGGTTGTGTTTGCTTGTCGCAGTGAGTCCCGGGCATGCAACTTTTTCTCGGATCAGCTGATTTCCTCATTTTTTCTCTTCACGCTTTTAATGCCACTGAAAATTGAAAAACGCTGTGCAGAGTCTTGTAAAGATTGGAATTTCCTTGGTTTTTCTTGTCACAGCCCAAGTTGCATGCCTGGAGTTCAAATGCGCCTTGGTTCCAGCGGTATGTCAGCTTTGTTTGCCACACACAGTGCCAACGGGGTCACCGTTTTATTCCCATTTTCTTGCTTCCAGGAGTACAATGACTACAAGAAGCTGCGTGGCGAAATGCTGATGAATCGGAGCAACTCCCTCCTCCTTCCGTTCAGTTTCTGGGGCGCGCCGCAGCCCCGGGAGCCTGGCAATCTGTATGAGCTCAGGAGTTACCATCTCAGGGTAAGGAAGGCTCTACACACACTCTCCTCAGTATAGGATGCTCTGACTGACCCAAATGATGCCACCGCACCATGCACAGGGTTTGCGGAGAAGCTAAGCTTTCAAGCATCAGAAATGGCGTAGAGTATCAGAAAACTGCCAAGTCGGTACCCAGTACGGGATCGGCATGATGACCACAGTCCGTGGAACCTTGGTGACATTTTAAGGTATTTGACAAAGAAATCATGGTTTGTTTTATGTGGAAACGAGCCCCACCGTTGAGTTTACGGTGAGGTTACTAAACCAAATGCTGGTCTATGGTAATGGTGTCTAACCTTGAGGAAACCATGTGGTCGTGTCTTTAGTTTGATCCTATAGAGTGCCGATTCGGAAGTGAATACGTCACGCAAACAGTTACGCTTGTAAAGGCGTTAGCACAAGAACCAGCGTGTGAACCAACAGGCGCGCTTACTCCATTCATTTGCACTGCATTTACTGGTTCTAAATGAAGTCACACTTTGGTATGCCATACAGGCCAAAGCAAGCTGGATTGCACATAACTTTCAAGCACCATGTTAAGTAATGATTGCCTAGTTGTACATTCTTTAATCCTTATACAGCCTCTAAATGCTAGATTCAGTGTTTTAAAAGGAGATTGCCAGAAGTTTACTCGGTGTGTCATGTCCTTTTGATTGCAGCCTGGCACCCTGATAGAATGGGCGAACAATTGGTAAGTGACATTTGTGTTTTCCAGTCACTTTTCCTTCAATTTTGTAAATTGAGTTTTGCTCTACCCCCCCCCAAAAAAATGCCTGTCATGGAAAGTGAACTAGGGTTGGGTCCAACTATGAACTTCAAGCTGAGCTGTCCAGCCCAGTACACAAAAAAGGGGAAAAATTAACGTTTTTTTTTTGTAGTGACTTTACACAGGCTTCAGAAAGGTAGTTTAGTTGCTTGCATTGTATGCCTCTCTTGTTTACTGCAGGAAAAGTGGAATTAGATTCCGTCGGGACAACAACGAAGCCGTAGCGGGTCTCTTTACCCAAGTGGGCGACTTGTACCTTGTGCACCACCTCTGGGGTGAGTCTTTGCTGAAGATATGACGAGGATCATGTACACCCTTCATGAATACGACAAATGATGACACTCAGGAGGGAGTCCAGAAAAAGTATTCTTTGTACAATTGTGAAGATGAAAAAAAAAAGGCCTTGCAATTAAATATTTGGACTACTTCATCTTTAGATTTTAAGCAGTGTTGCTTTTCTTCAAGAGAAATCTTTGGACTTGTTTTCCCGAATTTGCACTTTGAAAAGGAAACTCGCAATCAAATTCCTTTCAAAGTCCTCAACACTTGCATTTCACTCCCGTTAAAAGTTTAATGTGCTACAGTGAGTGACTTGTACAAATAAACAGCCAAGAGGCGCCTGAAATGTTCCTGTTTAGGTTTCAGAATCCCCTAGGCCCCTCTCTGGATAGCTTGATCGTCGAGATCTTTTCTTCCGGTTTCATATTTGCTTCCAGCTTACAAGGATCTTCAGACTCGCAAGGATATCCGTGAGAAAGCGTGGCAGAATCCTGGATGGGATAGTTGCGTGGCATACACTGGTAGGTATTTGTACTCCTCCGTGCAACGTTTGCCAAGTTTGACACACTTCCACTGTCCAGAATCTCCGCCCATGTGGCCCATGGATTGCTTGGGTTGTTGTCCACTTGAAAAACTGATGCTGTGAGATTGTGTGTGCCTTGTTAACCGGACGGACATCCCTGAATTCACTTTACATATGAATCTGCATATGCAAAAGAGCTGGTAGTTTGCAGTTCCTTTTCAGCGGAAGTGGAATACTCCATCCTTCACAATCTAGAGCCAGCGTTCAGGGTGTCAGAAAGAATCTTCATTTCACAATCGACCCTTCCAGCAGCTACGAGGATCGAGTGTGTTTCACATATTTGTGAGCCACTTTTCTAAAATGAAGCTGCAGCCCCGTTAAGCTGAGATCACATCCGATTTAAAGTAGAGTTTTGAACTCAGGGAAGCTTGGCATCGATAGACCCAGTTGCCAAATTGGCATTTCCTTTGTTGCTGCAATGCCACCGCCATAAGCTTACTACTAATAGCCCACAGCAAAAAAAAAAATTCTGGTAACTTCAGCCAATGTTGAGGTCACATGCTGTACCCGAAGGGAGGCATCCGAGTTGTTTAGGGACCAAAGTGTCAGTGCTTCTTCTCTTCTCGCCGAACTTTCCCTGTATGATTACTCTGCCTTTGTTTTCTTCCGCAGTACCCCTGATTCGCAAGATGGAGTCCAGAGTAATGATCCCCTTGCCTTGTTCCCCACTCCAGTAAAGACTACGGGGGCACAAATACACCACCAGATAAATTTTGTCAATTCGCACGACAGCCTTGTTGAAAGAATTACGAAATGAAGTTTCGTGTGTTCAGCGACTGGTCAAATCGTTAACTGTTAAAAACAGTTTGGTAGATGGTTTGAGCAACCGACAAAAAAACCCCCCACTCCTTAGCCCCAGCTCTAGTGTTTTGAATGAAATTGTTCCCTAGAGAAATATCGTTTCAGTTCTTGCAGATTCTGCTTTTCAAGTGTTTGTACAAAATAGATACATGTAATTGGGTATATAGAAGTCAAAAAAGTTTTGTTGTGGTATCTGAGAACCATGTACTTCCGGGTTTGACATCCAAGTGCTTATCTTTGTGGGAGATCAGAAAGGAGTTACTTCAGGTACACTGAAAAGACTTCGTCAGATATGCTGTCGTAATCATGGCACTAACACATAAAACCAGCATCGCATGTGCATACAAGTACACGTACTGCCACTGATGACAAACCGTACTCTTAATGTTTCAATTACACCATTACAAAAACAATGTTCAGTTTGGAAAGGATCGCTTCTCTGTTTAAAATGTACATGTAATTCATTAATCGGACGACAATTGAAAGCAATTAGGTCAAAAGCCATTTGTCCGAAACAGAAATAGGATTATGGAACTGAAAAAAACCTAACCCTCCTGAGATGACCGGGACGGGACTCCTGTAATGGACTCAGTTTTGTTTCTAATGCACACATTTTTTTCTTATAGAAAATATAGAAAAATCAGTTACAGAAAATCTGTGATAATTTCACGAGTGATGTAACATACAACAGGGGTGAGATTTGTAAGGAGTTTTCCTGGTTTCAGATTTTGTTATTTTCATCAGGACTTTCTTGATTTCAGGATTTTTCAAATCTAAACAAATCCTGAATTTACCATTCAGGTGTTGTAAGATAGATAAGTTGATAAATGTACAACACAAGGAATGGGCATATTAAGGGTGTCTTTGGCCTTGCCGTGGGGCACGTGAAAGATCTGGTGATTATTTCTTGGGATGTTCCACTTTCCTTCCAGCTCACCCCCGATACAGGTACAATGAAAATTGAGACTTTTCTCTCTCGATCCTTGCAGTTGCAGTCGCAACTTACTTTTACTGAAACCCTCCAAAACCCACTTCTGGAAATTATAAATAGGAGAAATCTGAGTGTTTAATTTAGCAAATGGATGTTGGTTTGAGTACCATAGGCAAATGTTTTACGAGTGTTGACACTTGGTCCACAACAGTCTGTCACAAGCCATCCAGTTTGAAGTCACAATCTCTTAAACATTGACAAAATGACGACAGTACTTGCCACTGTTAATGCCATTATTTGTGACTGACTTGATGGGCTGACTTGTGATTTTGACTTGTCATGGACTCGGCTGCAACTCTACTGTAAATACCAATAAGTTTTAATTACGCGAACTGAAAGTCTTTAACCTAATGGCGGAGAAGCTTGGTCATTAAATGTGCAGTTTTGAATGAAAAGCCCAGACTCGTTTGACTCCATTGAACTTCTTTGAATCCTCTGAACAATTTCTCAATGCAGGTTCAAGTTTCCAACCTGTATTGTAGATGCTAGAGGTCTTAATGCAACGTCAACCATCTACTTAAGGAAAAACTGAAGGACTGTGTGAGCATTGGCGTATGTTACAATGGAGCATTTTGATAAAATCGGCCATGCTGAGTTTTCCATTACTGCTGAGAATCAAGTAATTAATTGCCCTTTGTTCCACCTTGCCGTCCATAGTACTTCAACATTTTGATGCAAGTCTGTGGTCTTCTAACAAGCACAGGTTTCCCGGAATGTGCACAGTGTGGGAACCAGCAAACGTGACCAGCTCTGTAAAAATGAGTCAGACATTGCTACAGCCCCTTTTGCGTTTCACAACTTCAAAAGAATCTTAAAATAATCGGAATGTGCCGCATTTTTCACCCACATAAAGTCTGTTTTCACCCACATAAAGTCTGTTTTCACCCACATAAAGTCTGTTTTCACCCACATAAAGTCTGTTTTCACCAGGATGCGAAACTGACAGGTATATCAACCAGAAAAAGCTTGACTTGCCCTTTCTAATGCAAAAAAATTTGCCTTGTGACTCATTTTAACAGAAGGGGTTTCAATAATTTGGTAAGTGTTGACTGAAACTTTTACAGTTTCAAAGTTCAACCCTAACCTTCCCCAACCACAAAGAATTAGACAGTAGTAAAGTGTTTAATTCTGTGGTGGTCTGGTAGGCCCATAACAGCTGGCTTTTGCGTTGGGTTTGGCATACCTCAGAAAAACAAAGTCCAACAGCCTCTGTGCACAAAGTCCCATGTCGGTGTTTAACTTTGTGTGAATGGGGAAGGTTAGGGCTATTAGCCACATGATGTATTGACATACACCACCAAAAAATTTACACTGTGAATACGATTATCATGATAAGCCTTGAAAACTAGACTAAACTTGCTGTAACATTTGACCAATATCATGAACGACAAATTCTGCTTGAAAAATGAATTTTTCCCAAATAAACTGCCTCCAAATAACAGTATTTTCTGGATTAAAACAAAGCATTTTGTTCCGTTTTTTGCAGGTGACATTCACAAGCTTTTTTGACAAGGGCCAGAAAGCATATTCATTTGTACAATAAAACCTCTTTAAAAGGGATCCTTTTTCAGAATATGCTCGACCCACATGCTCCATGCGAAAATTTATCAGCGGTAGACATGTTTAGAATGCATAATTTGATGCTGAAAATAAGTGGCAGGGTGCACTGCATGTGTTTTTAAAATTCCTTTGAAAGAAAACTTTAAAAGTAAATTTAAACATAAAACCAATTAAAATAAGGCATTCCAAAAGCCAGAGCAAGCCCAGCTTTCTTTGGAAAATAGCTACACGACAATGCTCTGTGCATGAAAGTGAACATATTAATAAAACCAGTTGGTTAGTCAGCATGTCTGGGAAAAGTGGACATCTGGAAAACAAACTTCAGATCTTTATTTCAGTCTTCCCTCCCCCTGCAATATTCAAACTTGTCAGTGACCGTCATTAAAATTACAATGGAATGATTTATGCTACAGCCACAGCCACAACTGAATCAAATGGCTGTGGCTAAGAGTAAAATATTGTACACCTGTCTAGGGGAAGTGGCTGTGATTTTCTTTCCAATCTTTGCATGTACATATATATACAATGTAGGCAATTCATCAAGAATTCACTTATTTTGAAATTTTAAGATTTTTAGTTTTAACAACTTTCCAGAAGTTCATTGATTTATACACTTGGCCTCTGTGAAAGGCAGGAATCACTTTACATGGTCAATTCCATATGCTCGTAGCTGCCTTGCACTGCCTGACTGACAACTGGCGGGTCTGTGCCTGTCCCCTGCAGCTGTTGCTGAGCGTGGCTGAATGCTGCCAGAGCAGCTGAGGCCTCCCCCGACATGACTGAGCCCGGCAGAAGGGTGCAGGTGTTTTCAGCGCGGTTTATTGACACCGGTATGGTAGCTTGCGTCGTGCTGCTGGTTGCCTGAAAGACCGGTATGTTCATGGTGGACAGGTGTTGAGCTATGGAAGCCAGCGTTGGGAGGTCCGACTCAAATCCCTCTCCTGAAACGAGACTTTGGACTGTCTGGAATTGATTGTCGACTGTGGTACAAGCCTGAGCCTCCATGTGGGTGGTCAGTTGTGTTTGGTCTGCGCTCGGCAGGCCAGCTTCGGGGGCAGTCTTTCTGGAGGCTTTCCTCCGGTAGCTTTTGCCGTTCCGGTGTGTCTTCATGTGCCGGTCCAGGTTCCCAGGAATCAGGAAGGTCTTGCCGCACTGCTCGCACTGGAAGTCACGCTGGTCCTGATGCCACTTGATGTGGACTCGGAGGTTGGTGCGGGTGCGAAAACCCTTCTCACACAAATGGCACTTGTGCGGCCTCTCGTCCCGGTGCATCATCATATGCAAGGTCAGGCGGTGGCTGCGGTTGAACGTCTTCTGGCATATTTCGCACTTGTATGCCCGCTTGTCCGTGTGGACGCATATCATGTGCTCCTTCAAGTTACCCTTGGTCTTGACCCTGGTCCCGCATATATCGCACTGGAAAGTCCGGGCCGTGCTGTGGCTGTGCTCGTGGGCCAGCAAGGCACTCTTGCAAGGGAAGCCCTGGCCGCACTGCCCGCAGACGTGGTCCCGCTTCTTGTCATGAATGGACGCAATGTGATACGTCAGCCCGCCTTTCCGGTAGAACACCCTGTCGCAGTGCGGGCACTTGTACTCGGTCTCCTTGGTGTGCATGTTGCGGTGGCGCAGCAACAGCGACTGGTGGAAGAAACTCTTGTCGCAAAATTCACACTTGAAAGGGTTGTCTTTGGAGTGGGTCCTCTTGTGTGAGTTCAGGGCGTTCTTGTCCAGGAAGCGTTTGCCGCAGACTTCACAGTCAAAGTTTATCCCCATCTCTTCGTTCTTGTGGCAGTTCAGGTGCCTTAGGAAGGTGGTCTTGAAGTAGAACGGTTTCTGGCAGGTGCTGCACTGATATGCCGGTTTCTCTTTGTGGATCGTGGAAATGTGCAACTTGGCGTAGCTCAGGTGAAGGAAACTTTTATCGCAGTGGGGGCACTTGTGCTTGCCCTGGACATTAGCTCTGCGACCTCTTCCCGACCGTTTCTTGGGAAGTTTTTCTGATCGATTTGAGCCGTCGTCGTCAGGGTTTTCCTCCGGTTTTTCACTGTCCTTCACATTGCTTTCAGATGGTGGGGCTGATGTTGGCTCCACTTTTGCCTTTGCTTTTTCAGAATGCCCCCACTTAAATTTCTTTACATTCTCCTCGGATTCTGAATTTGATGGAACATAGTCTTCATCATCAGATATGCTGCCCGAACTCCGGCGTGCTTTTTTCCTGGTTTGTTTTTTAAAATGTGCTCTCTTCTCCTCAAGCTCAAAGTCTTCATCTGCTCCATCTGTCTTCCCTCCTGAGTTACTGACACTGCTCTCTTTTTCTGGGATGACCTCATCATCACTCTCTCTGTTGCCATGGTTTTCTTGTACATCTTCACTCATCTCTTCCGCCTCTTCTTCAGCCAGCTTCCTGGATATGCACTTTGGTGTTCTTCCCTTCCTTCCTCTTTTGCGGGCAGTTCGGAGAGAACGTCGTGGCTGTTTCTCTGAAGCTCCTTCTTCAATATCTGAGTCTTCATCCTTGGATTTTAACTGCAGTTCCTTGAGTTTTCTTGATCTTGCCGCAGGAGTTGCTGTTGCTCCTGTTGTGCGTCTCTTCTTATCGTGCGGATACATCTGTGCCGATTTCAGACGTGCCTGATTTTTAGAAAACTGATGGCTCTCAATTAAATGCCGGGTAAACACGTAGCGGTTGCAGTATCTTTTGAGGCACAAATCGCAAGCAAATGTCGCGTTCAATTCCTTGTATTTTTTATTAGCTTCCTTCTGTGCCCTGTTTTGTGACATAAAGTGAGCTGACTTCAAATGTTTCACCAACTGTGCGCGATCCTTATAGCTCACTGTGCACTTAACGCAGGCAAGTAAATAGCCAGGTTGCTTTGGGGATTTCTTGGGTACATGAGAGTCTGCCTTGGTGGGGGATGGTACCTCCGCACACCTAACTGACGCGTACACGCTGCTGGCAGCTTTCTGTCGGGAGAACTTGTGTACTTCCATCAGATGAGATCGCAAAGCTATACGAGTCTTGAATTTACCCCGACACACTTCGCACCTAATGCAAACCCTAGGAGGTGCATCAGTTGCGTCCGATCCTGTAGAGTTATCGCTTTCCTCTGCGGACAGTGCCTCTCCCTCTTCGTTCTCCTTTTCGTCCTCTTTCTGCTGCTTGGAATATTTGATGTTCAGCTCGTGCATGATTGTCACGGCCTCCGCAGTCTCCATGCCGTGCTCGATAAACAAATGGTTCTGCAGCCGGAGGAGCTGGCGGAAACTTTTCCCACAGCTTGGGCAGGGCAGGTTCTCATCCCGGTACCGCGTCAGAACCGGGCAGTGCTGCAGGAGGTGCAGGTCCAGCATGACCGGGGTGCCCTGATCCGCCTTGCACCACTCGCAGACGTAGGATGGAGGCTCGGCGGGGACGTCTTCCACAATGTCGTCTGTCATTTCATTGGGCTCAAAGGTGTCAGCATGGTCTTCGTCGCTGTCGCTGCCCGTCTCCACGGAGCTCAAATGCAGGGGTGGAACCGGCTGAGGGGGTGCTGCCTTTGTCATAGACTGAGACGCTGAGAAGGCTTGCCGTGTTAGCGTTGACTCTGAAACGAAAGATCAGGTAACTGTCAGTATTCACCAAGTCCTGTCAACTTCAGTTCGTTAACAGTACCACATGGTGCATCCGCTCTAACCCCAGTATTCTAAAAAAAATCCACCCGGAGGTTTTAAAGGGCAAGTGCAGTTTTTGAGAGATTATGTCAATACCATCTACCACCTGGATATGGAACTCCCCTCCAATTCATATCAAAAAGAAACTGACTTAAGCAGGGAAGTATCATCGATTGCAATCAGGGTGGAACTGTTAGTTTTTAACAAAAAAGAAAAATTTTCAAACATAATGCATCAAGAAAGATGCTCTGCCAAGAAACTTCTTCTGTGTCAGCATTAATCATTCCATCGTTCTCCTTTGAGTTGAGCATTCTTTTATTGGTGCAAGTGCAGGAAAGGAAAGCCTGTCAGGTTATAAGAACAACTTAGATGAATGGAAAGACAGTGTATGACTCCTCTTATAAAATATACTTGTCTAAAATATACTTGTCTGGTTAATTTACTAGACAGCATACAGTCTTGCTTGCCGATGGAATGCATCTGTGTGTTCTCAGAACACACATAAAGTTGAAGTAACCTACACCTGCATGTATTGCTCCCTCATTTCCAGGCCTTAAATTTGTACTTGAGCTTCCGTTTGTTTCACTTAAAGACCTATCCAATATGTCCCATCATGTCCTAGTTCAAGTTGCCAACCAGTTTAGTCCATCAATTTCAACAGGGGCTACGTGCATTTGATATTTTTGAGTGAAACGGACCCTTGGTGGCCTTTGGGAGCAAGTTATCCTCAATTAATTTAGAGTCAAGAAAAATCAGCTAAGTTTTCCTGATATAGGTTTTAATTTACATGTGTAATGGAGCATTTTTATGTTTCTGTGTTGTCCCAATTGGTTGTGTTTGCGCCTCTCAATCAGTGTGAGTCCACAGTGACAAACTATTAGAAGATCCTGTCTTGCATCATCCGTTCAAATTGCTCATGGTGGTAGCACTTCCGCCAAGGTACATGCACTAGTACTATCACCCGATTTGGGACTTGATGCCCCTCGGAAGTGAAAATGCAAAGCGTTCCACACTTTGAGCTTCCTGGAAAATGAGGACTTGGGAGAATTGGAAAGGTTCCTGAAAATACCAAAGAAATTTAAAGGGTACGTGCTTTTCTACACAGCTCAATGTCTCCCAAACCCAGGCATTTTTTTTTTGTTATTGTAGGACCCTTTTCTGTGGTCACGTTGTGAAATTGTAATTTGATTTGTTGAAGCTGTGAGTCGATTATTCCTAAGCAAGCACAATGAGTGGATACTGGTGCCTCATAAGGCTATCATTGATGTTGTGTTGTTGTTTGCTCAGCTGTTGTTATTGTTTATTTGTTGATTTGTTGCTGCTGTTATTAATCATTCATCTCCACTCTGCAGAAATACCATCCGGCACATTCATTGCACTTTCCAACTTTCACCAGTGTAGACTCTGCCTCAGCCTCTCCTGGCAAAACTCCTCTCGAGCATCCCAATGGATCTTCAAGAATCTTGCGGAGCATTAGAATAAATGGACTTCAGTTTCCTGAATACATGTATGCATTGCTTTAACCTTTTCTACAGCTTACCAACATCCGTCACAAAGGTGAATCTCTTCTCCTTGGACCCATCCTCCTTAGTTTCCATGTCCACAAACATGATGCCCAGTTGCAGCAGAAGCTCAACGACCGTGGCACTATCTGCAACATAAACACGGTCAACCGGATCAATGATGAAACCCTGGACTTTAATAAACTCGCAAAATATCCTTCAACTTATGCCACATCGGTATATTAAAGACATACAGATATCAGGACAGTGTCATTTTGGTAACTTTTAGAAAACCATCCCCGTCTGATTTCCTGAAGTCAGTGTGGATGGGTTTTATAACGTTAAACCCAACTCCACGAATTAGAAGTGAACAAATGAGGTTGTGAGACACTTGTCCAGAAAATAAGCATTCTCATTTCTTTTCTATTTAGATTTCAAGGTGATTGTATGTTTTCATGATAAATTCAATACATTCAAGTCCCCAGCTGGCACAACATCTGTAGGGATTTCCTCTCTACTTTTCAGAGTCAGCACAAATAAGGTGTTGCTTTCTGCACTTACCTGCCTCTGTTGCAGTTTGATTTTGAACTCGGCCAATGAGCCGAGCTGTCTTCGCCGTCAAGGTGTCCAGGACTTTGAACAGCTGTCCCTGTTTCCGTAACGAGTCCCACAGCATGTGACATTCTACGAAAACAATACATGTCGTTCAAAACCTGCTTGCTTTGAAAGTCTCCCTAACATCAAAATGCCAGGATAGCTTGTCTTCAGTGTTTATGTTTGATGATGAATTGGCCAAGAATTGCTTTTCTACTGGCATTGCAACTTCATATGTGCCGTGAGTGAAATGGGTGACTTCGTAATTTAACAAAAATTTTCATCTCGTTTCCTGAATACCCTGCCATTGTGAATCAAGCCAGTTATAGAATTTTCTTCCCTGTAAAAAATCTTCCAGCACCATGGTACACAAAAAGTGAAGTATGCAACATTTTTTAAATTACAAAAACACTGAAGAACACTGCAACATTCGGGGGTTAGAAGATGAGGACGAATTCCCCACTGGACTTTAAAAAAAAGCTTTAAAGGCTTTCAAAAATACGTGTCTGTTGATTTAAAAGGAGTTTAATAGCTTAGGGAAAGGAGTCTTGCCACATGCTGAAATCCTAGAAGGAGAAACATGCTTTAAAAGTGATCTAGGTGGAGTAAACTACACGTAACTTTGGGCATAGCAGGTGTTTATGTCTTACACTCGGAACTTGTGATGCCTGACAAAGAATTCTTTCACAAAAATGGCAGTTGTCCTCAAGAGTAGGCCTTCGTAACATGCCTAAAACTACTAATCCCATTGTCAATACCAACCCCTGAGTAAATGGTCACACCTACAAATCATGAACATGCATGCCATTGTGACCATCTGGCCATGTGGGCCTAATGTTTGATCTCAAAGTTGCATTTCCAAGGTCATGCACTCTTGCTCATCTGCTCCAAATTGGGAAATCTATTATTTGCAATATGATATGGGTTTAACATGTTTAGGCCTAATGCCAGCTGTGATTTCATGTTGGAAAGATTTTACTTTAAAAATCAATACCCACACCAAAACCATTTGGAACCGAAAAATCTTGAAAAATAATCACCCAGTTCAGAACTATGTAGGCCTACATCAAGACATCGCACAACCTTTAATTATGTTCAGATGTTAAATTTAAGACTTAAATAAGGAAATCTTCATGCTCTATAGGGGGCGAAGGTCATGAACGTTATCGATGTGAAGTTACAATGTAGTTTCTCATTCCTTGTTTGACATTTGGCATTCAGCATGTTCAATGTTGAACAAGTAACCTTTCGATATTCCAACGCTGAATAAGCAACTGTTTGACTTTTGGGATGCACACCCCTTAAAATGATGGAGTGCAAAAGGAACAAAAAAACAAACTGCACCACCATGCACATCCATTCACATGTACCTATATTAAATAGAACATGCCATTTAACAATGATGTATAGACACACGACGGGGCGGACGTCGGTGGGAGCAGGGCGGATGTTGGACACCACAGTTCTGGGGGTAGTCAGACCCCACAGTTCTGGTGGGTAGGGAAGGTTGAAAAATATTTAAGTCTAACGTGGGTCCCAGGGAGTGACCAATCAAGCATGATACTGTATCCACCTATGAATAATCTGGATATGAGGTGGACTATGCCTGGACTAGTCAGTAGTCTGGGCCCTATGGCATGTACGGTCTACAAACCCCCAGAACAGTGTGGGGTTCGACGTCCGCCCGCCCAGACGACGGATCCCACAGTTCTGACATGTCAGAGGGGAGGGTATTCTGCAATTGTGCCCTAGGCCTATTCCTGACAATAAATTCTCATTATTCTAGTTGGGGGTTTAAAGTAAACTCTTTCCTTCATGTTTTATATTCAAAACAAAACAATGATATACGGTAAACAAAATTCACGAAACTGGTGCAGCGTAAACTTTACATCACACCGGGGGGGACTATTTCATTATTTGACATGATTTGTACCTTTTGAGCCTCCCAACAAATTCCCATCAACAAGGTCATTGTTGGCAATTTCTGACTCAGCACTTTTGACTCCCTGTGTTGTAGAATCGATCTTGACCAAGGACACTGAAATATCTGGATCATCCATGACGAACAAAGGGTTAAAAGTTAAAAACTCTAGTACAATTTTGTCCAGTCATGCCAGCGTCCACTCCAGTTTTTCCAGCCGAAGCGACTACAGTGTACCAGTGTACCACACACGCGTACATATACATGTACATGTAGGATGTGGATCCAGGCCTGGTGGTCATGCAGTGACATGGGCGCGTAGAGGTAGGTGAGCCACGCCACACGATCGATTGATCTATCAGTGAGATCGGGAGCCAGCGCGACGACTGCAGCAAAGCGCACATCAGTGGCTAGAATCCATGCAGTAGAGGGAAGCTCAAACAGTCCTGTTTCATCCACGGCCCCCTCTACTCAAATTGGTAAAAACTCATCAGAACTGATTGTTGGCTTTATAGTACCTGTACCTCTCCACCTTTCCTGGCTTTTATACATGTATATGGGTCATTCCATGATGGGTGCACTGAACTAATTGAAGCCCCATTGAAGACAATGTAAAATCGACCACGTTTGCAGCCCCGGTGCGGGCAACCGAAGTCCCTCAGCCCTCACAAAAAAAAAAAAAAAAAAGTATTCTGGGGTCATTCAGCTCTCAATTGATTTTCAATTTTTAGTAGGTTAACCATTGAAATTTTTAATTATCCACCCAAAACAAACTCACCCTCCAAAAAGTGAACGTTCCCAAGTCTGTCGGCAGCCATTTTTCAAGTGACATCCCTCCACCTTTTCAGGCTCTTGGGACAATTTTTCAGTGGCATTTCTATGCTTCGCCCTGGGATGGGAGCCCTTGAATCTAGGGAGTTCATTCTGGGCCATTCTTTCACAATCCCACAAATTCTTGGGCCACACAATCTCCTCTTTTCCAAATAAACTGTAGGGGTACTTTTTCAGCGCCTCCACCTGCCGAAGAATTTCCCTTGAATTGGGCAGTGCACCCTGATGAGGTTGGGGCGCAAGTGACGGTGTCCTTGTTTTACCACATGACCTGTAGAGTAGATCATTTACTCTGTAAAAGTAACACGCACCTCTCTATTCAGCCTTGCAAGATGTACATGTGCGTACATGTATAATTCAGAATCCACATGCAGGGAAGTAGCTGTTCTGTTTTTACGGAACCCACGAAACAATGGACACCGTCACAAATGGTGCCCCTACCTCAAGGAATGACCCATATACATGTAAAATCTCCCTCCTAATGGTGTTGCCTCGTACTGGGAGGGATCAGGATAATTGAAATGGGAGTTTTCATTTATTATTATTTCTCAGGGTACAAAAACCAACACAAAATACGAAAACCGATACATCAACATAGAAGAACAATATTTGTTGACACCCTTGACGGATAGCTTAAAAGTGAACTCAATCACTGTCGAGAGGTCAACAAATACAAGAAAAACACTAGATAAAAAATGACTTAAAATACACAAATGCACAAAAATAAAACTAGCCTTAATAAACAATGGAATGTACAGTAAAAATACAGGATCAGCATTATGGCATCAAACAATGTTAGCCTCAGGGGATAGCCAATGGTCTCTTAACTTTGAAATAAAAGAATTAAGACTGAAAACAATTTCTGTTGTGACATCTATGTGCAAAGTGTCCCACAATCTTGGGAATCTAACAAAATAATGAGCCATAAAAAACTTGTGTACGCGAGGAAAACTGAAGAAGTTCAGGAACCCACCAGGTAAAACGGCAGCAGTGCTTAAAATATTTATGGTTGAATACATCGTATATGGTAAAAAATTCTTTGTCAAAACTTCTCAAAAATTCGTTGAGGAATGACGTCTGAAACTTGAGTATTTATGATAATTTATGGCCTCCCTGTGGAGCATGGATCAGACAGTTTTTCAAGCGATCTATATCCCGGGGTTTTTCCAGAGACGGCTTCGTTCCGTCACGGTTACGGTGTCGTTTGATTATATTTTGAAACCCAAACTTTGAAGTTGTTAGCCCTAAAGCCAATGAAACATTAAATTATGTGTTATTGAGCCAAATCGTAAAGTATTTCTGTGTTTTAAAAAAATGTAGGCCTATTATTCGGGGATTGAGTTTTTATACAAGTCTAAAATTTAAGGAACGCACCGAGTTTTGGAAAAAATAGTCTGGTTACAAAATTTCTATTGCCGTTTTCATATATTCATATAAATATTATGGCAACCCGACTAAATCAGACGGAGCAAATGAGGGCGCTGTCCATTCAACACAACTTTAATTTGCAACGTCGTCGCGCGCGTGCACATTATATTGCGCTTCGTTCAGGTGTTTTCACTGAGTCGCCACAAAAATGACTCACGTGCTTAAAACGACTCGGACTCTCTCTGTCGTAGTATTAAAACATGTTTAGCCATGGTTGGGCCAAGAATAAAATGCTTCCAATTACATGCCTCTAAAAAAATAGGGCCGGTATAGGTCAAACTTTTAGGGGAGGGCGTCGATTTTTGTGCTGATTGAAGAGGATGAATGGGGAGGAAGGATTTAAAATAAATTGCCACAAAAAGTGATAAAAACTATGTAGAAATTTCTACAGTCGACAATTCCTAAGAATTATGGACAATCCACACCACTATGCACAACACTAGTCAGGTGATCACGACGGCAAATTGACCAACGCACGCAGTCTGTATATATCGCGTGGTATATATCCAGACGGGCATGCGATAAACCCCGTGCCGCGGCAGGAAATTTTGTGGAAACACGCAGAAATCTTCTTGCAACATCATGTTTTTTCCCCTTGAAGCTGTAGGGTTGCGTGCGTGTACGTGTACGGCCGAGGTGGTATTTCGACTGGGAGACTCGAGACTGGGGCTGTTTTCCAAACCTCAACTTCGGCGCTGTCTCAGGCTTCAACTATTTTTTAACTAGCTGACGTTGAAGCTGTAAGCGCAGTATTATGTTTAATAGTGCCATAAAACATCAAATAAAATGAAAGAGAGCCAGAAATTACAGTAATCCAATATAATTTGAACGCTTCAGGCCCACAATCGGGGATTGGTTTTGGGAACGAAGCCTGAGACGGAGCCCAAGTCGAGTATTGGAAAAGGGCCTGGTTGTCAGATTGCCATCACACGTTCTTTTGCATGGGCGAGGCGCGGCGCGGCGGGAACAGTGCAACACAGACTTGAAAACTTAAGGGTCGGTCAAGAAACCGGAAGCGCGAGTGTTTTTTTGTGGTGACCTTGCTTAAAAGTTCCTTGTCGAGAAAGCTCAAATAATTTGAACATATATCTTCGAGTTTTAATTTCAAGATGTAAATGCTAGTCTGGTTAGAACAGATTGATTGATTTCCTTAATTTCAACAGCACAGTATTTCATGACTCTGCCCTGAATGCTTTACATTTAGGCATTTGCACGTGTTTTCACCTCTGCGACAGCGAAACGGGAAGGGAACTTGTGAAAATAAGGGAAGTTTCTTTTCAAAAGTTGCCAATTTTAAGTAAAAAAAGTATTAAAAAGGAGTTTAACCAGAAAGGGGTTCAGAAGTGTTTTTTAAGACAGAAAAGATAACAGGATTTATTATGTTTATTTTTAATTTTGTTTAGTGTTTTTCTAACTTGCCGATATAAAATTTTGGGGTCACACAGACTTGAAAACTTAGGGTCGGTCAAGAAACCAAAAGCACAAGTATTTTTTTTTGAGGTGGCCTTGCTTAAAAGTACCGTGTCGTGAAAGCTCAAATAATTTGAACACACATCTCCGAGTTTTCAAGATGTAAATGCTAGTTTTGTTAGAACAGATTGATTGATTGCGGTAATTACAACAGCACAGTATTTCATGACTCTGCCATGAATGCTTTATATTTAAATTCATATCCATTCTTCATTTCTTGATGAAACCAAATCACCATGATCCATCATGAATCTCAGGGTTTTTTTAGTAAACTTAAGATCCACTTTAACAATTTACAGGTACATTGTTTTCGCTGGAAGTCCTAATATGAATCAGTTTGGTATAATTGCCCCCTCTCTCTGGGAAACCCTGCCCAAGCCCGCTGCAATAAACATTGTACACGAGCTCATACAAACGGAACGTGACATTTGTGTTTTTCTATTGTCCCCTCTTCCACTGCCTCCATCCGATTACATTAATTGGCGGCAGAACGATTTTCAGAGTGGGTGGGGGGGGGGCATGTTAATAGTGAGACCATCAGGCATCAGCCATTAATAGGTCAATCCATTAATTCTCCCAATAGGACCTGCCGGGGGCAATGCCTCCCTCTGCCGCTTCCGCCGCCAGTACAAGTGTCCACTTCACTAGATCCACTCCCCAAACATAGCATGATTTAGCAAAGAAAGAATGAAGCCTTGTGCCTTATGTACTTTCTCTGTAAAATAAACTGAAGAAGTCACATTTTATGACAAGGACAATGCCCTGGAAATGTCCAAATGTTTAAAAGGTGATAGGTGGGGCCCGGGGTCATAGATTCAAAGTACATTTCTGGTGAGGATGCGTCTGGTAAGTCTCATCTCTTGTGGGCCACGAGACAGAACCTATACTCACGTTTACAGTGGGTGTGCACCTGGGCCTTTTTCCAATACTCAACTTGGGCTGCGTATCAAGCTGCGTTCCTAAAACCAATCCCTTATTGTGGGCCTGAAGCGTCTAAATTACATTGGATTACTGTAATTTCTGGCTTTTTTGCATCTTATTTGATGTTTTGTGGCACCATTAGACTGATTACTGCGCTTACTGCTTCAAAGTCAGCGAGTTAAAAAAAAAAGCCTGAGACGGAGCCGAAGTTGAGTATTGGAAAACGGCCATGTACAGTTTACCTGTGATGTGAGATGCGCATGCGGCGAGCTATGACTGAGATGCCGCGGGCCGGCGCGGCCGGGGGCCGGGCCCGCGGGAAGCGCAGACGCACTGCTACAGGCCCGTGGCTAGGCTGCGTCGTACGCAGCCTGTCAGCAACATTAACACACGACGTAGATGTGCATAGACGCTGGGAATGAGGCTGGTTGCCTAGCGTCTGTAAATTGCACTCTTCTATTGAAACGTTCAACATGATTGGTCCTTTATTTTGAAGCACTTTTAAACGGCTTCGTACTTTTGCCCAATCAGATAGATTGTGGTTAAGAAGTAGGTAAAATATATAGCAGCCATTTTATAGCTCAAAGCGGATCGGGAATCTGTCGTCGATCAATGTCAACGCAGCATACAGTTTGGATGAGAACTTTGCTTACTTCATGCACTTAGTTTATATATGAATCCGTGGTTGTGAAGATTTTTTAAAAGGACACGTCGAAGGAGGTAACGCTAGCGTAAGGCTTTTTTCTTCGGATTAGGATACACCATAGACAGATAAGGTTTGTGGGATAAGCCTTATCGCAAAATAGGCGAGTATAGCCCCACTACTACTGTGGCACGGACTCTCACTCCCGATCCATCCTTAGCCACACATCCGTATGTGCAATTTCGTGTCGGCGTACTTAACATTTTCGGTGCACCCACTTATCATCGTTGGCGCAATATCTTTTGCACACGAACATGATCCTTGACCTTTCCGTTTTCTAAAAACCATTTATTGAATGATTTCACTCCCATTATTGAGGTATTTTCCATGCATTTTGCCTTTATCCATTCAATCTAATGGGCTCGCCCTCATAGTCGCCATCTTTAAAATAAGGTCGTTGAACATTACGTCACTTGACCCCTCATCGTCTCAACGGCTCTTCCATGTCAAGACATCTAAACTGCTGCCAAAGTTTTAAAAGAGCCCATTGGTAAATGATAAGATCTAAACTGCTGCCAAAGTTTTAAAAGAGCCCATTGGTACGTGAAGTATCTTATCGCTCAGTTCGTTTATTACATATGTCTTGACATGGAAGAGCCGTCGAGACGATGAGGGGTCAAGTGACGTATTGTTCAACAATCTTATTTTAAAGATGGCGACTGAGAGTGAGCCCGTTAGATTGAATGGATGAAGGCAAAAAGATTGGAAAATACCTCAATAATGGGAGTGAAATCATTCAATAAATGGTTTTTAGAAAACGGAAAGGTCAAGGATCATGTTCGTGTGCAAAAAGAAATTGCGCCCACGATGATAAGTGGGTGCACCGAAAATGTTCAGTACGCCGACATGAAATTGCGCATACGGATGTGTGGCTGAGGATGGATCGGGAGTGAGAGTCCGTGCCACACTAGTGGGGCTAGTACTATTACTAGTACTCGCATTACTATAGGCCTACTCATTCGGGCCTACTGCATGGATGATTTTGCACAATGGTAAAAGGGCATTGTGGGAAGGAAAAAGGAGCAAACACTTAACCTTTTGCCTTCCCACAATGCCTTTCAACCATTATACAAAATCACTCATGCAGACATGGAATCACCAGTGATCTCTCACAGTCTCACGGTAAACAGGAATAAAATTTGGTTAACGAAAACACATGTCCAGTGAAAATAAATGACAACACGATAGGCTATGAATGATGTACATGTAGACTGACTCGGGCCCGGTTGGGTAATGAAGCATGTAGGCCGTAGGTATTTAACCATTACACAGCGCTGGGCATGATGATACTGATGCATATGTGCAGTGTATCACAAACGTGTTTGTGACTGCTTTTTTCTTACATCTGACATTCTTGATGCTGCCACCACACTCCACAGATTGTCATTCAAAATGCTAAAAAAAAGAAAAGTTGGCCAATATACATCAAACAACATTTAGTTATGCGGCATGCGTCATTTTGCAGTGAAATCGACAGAAAATGTATTTAGTTAGTAAAAAAAGAATAGGATATGTCCTGTTCTTGCAGAGCATTTCATTTTCTTTTCCTGATTAGTGGCTTTTTAGAGATCAGTTCGTGGTCTACCATCCACTGCGTATCGTAAAAAAATAAAATGGCACAGCGCAAAATTTGTTATTGTCAGAAACTATAGTTTATCCAGACAGCTGGGTATCAGGGCCGTAACACAGCAGTGCTGGGATTTTTTAAAGTTTCACTGATACTGATAGGGTATGTGTTGGTCGCCAGTGGGATTACGTGTATTCAACATCGGAAACAATCCATTTTTTATTAAATTTTTAAAATTTTATTAATGATTTATTATACAGTAGTAATGCATTGAAAGTTAGCACATGGCTAACCAGTTTGTATTGACCTTTTTGCCTTTAAGAAAGATTCTGCTGGGATCGAAACGTCAGACCCTCCATATTTTGAGATTTGTATTTTACGTCATTGTAGTCAGCAAGCAGTTTGCAGCAGTTTTGTATTGCTATTTTTATTTGATAACACTGAACAGGTTCCTTGAGGAGGAATGAAAGTTGACTTTGACGTCAGTGCAGTCAGCCATTTTCTAGCCATGTAGGCAGAGAAACAAGAAGAAACTTGAACAATCATCTGATGAAAGTTGGAGTTAGAGTTTTCAGCATGTCAAGCAATTTGACATAGAAAACATAGTGTAAGCCGCATCAGTCAGGGGAGCCATGACATCCCCGAGGACAAGTCACAATGGCAGAATGTTAGGAAATGTTCGCCTCGGCAACAAGTCAACCCTCTTCCCTCCATTGACCAAGACTCTCAATGATTCGAATAAGGTTAGTTACAAATGGCAGCTCTGCATATTATGAAATGATTTCTTTTCATAAATGAGCCAGTTTTATATTCCAACTGCGCATTCCCTGTACAGGCTATTTGAGAACAGCTACGCACACATGTGAGAGTCCGTACTTTAAGCGCTGCCATACACTGACTCATACGTGGGCTTTGTTCCTGAAAGACTTTGGCTTTTGGAAATACCAAACTGGCTCATTGTGTTGTTTTGTTCATGAGCTGTTATTCTCCTGTGAAAATGCAGTGCTCACTATCTCCAAAGCGTGAGATATTTTGTAAAGAAAAAAGATCTAAAATTTGTTAATTTGTTCTTTCTGAAGGCATTCTTTCAAGAGCATCATTTAATGATCCAAGGCGATGCACTGTCCACTCCACCTAAGGCCCCAGAGGAGATAGTGTCTCCAAGGTTGGTGACCTCAACACGACCCTTGACCTCAAGGTCAGATCCAAGCAGCAAACCAGAGTTAAAGGATCTTCAAGTAAGTGTGGAGAAGCTGCATTGTTTATGTCATGATCTCTTTTCAACAGCATGCACAAAATACAATAATTCCAAAACCTACATTGTATTTCCTTTTTTCGAGAAATGCTGCCACAGTTGTTTCCATTGTGAAGTTAATCTTTATTATGCCTCTAAGTCTCTTTTTAGTGGGACTTGCAGGGGTCAGAGACATTTAATCATAAGCTTGTCTGGAAAAGTCTCCTGCCCTGCTCATTCTCTTGAAAGTTTGTCAACAAACTTCTTCCTCCCAATTTGTCTCACATTTTCGGAAAAGCCTATATGTCTTTATAATGACAAGGGACTAAAAGCCCAGTCAACTCTGCAATCCTGAAGCACTCCTCGCTCTGCCCCAAAAAAGGAAAACTGTAGAAGATTCCTTCATAACGAATGAAGAGTTCTGTGATACCACTTCTGTGCATCACGTTAACTGCAAGCTGTTCAGGACTTAATTTATGAAATGACTCTTTGATGGGAACTGTTTTCCAACAGGCCAAAGACAAACAGCACCGAAATCGCATCCAGTCACTGCAGAAGCTTATTGACCAACTGAGGGCAGAGGTTAAATCCAAAGAGGAGGAGCTCACCAGTACGCAAGCAAGACTGCAGAAAATTGTAAGATTGGTTCCAGATTCCTCTGAAAGTCAAAATAAGCCAATGGGATATTCCATTGAGGTAAGGTTATTCGGGATAAAAAGTACCTGATGCCATTCTAGCTTGATCGTGTCCACTGCCTGTGACTTATTGACAATGACTGGGCTGATGGGGCCAGTCATGCTTGTGTAGATTGATAATCCCAAATGACTTACGAAGCAGTTCATTGGAATAGTTGACTTGCGATAATACAAGTTTGGATAGGACAAGATTCCGTTTTAGACGAGCATATTTTTGCCAGTCCCAACTAAATTGTGTACATTCCCATGAGGAAAAAATGCTTAATACGACCTCGGGTGTCTCGAGATTTCTCAAATTAAGACAGGCTTGTTTTTTACGCTCCAGCTGAGTGCAAATTTATTACTATCCATGTATTTAGCAAGAGCATTTCTGAAACTTTGTTAATCAGTGTTCTGTATTGACTTAAATATTGTGAGCAACATTAGCATTCTAGGGCTGCCTCTCCATTTATCCCCATGGTCCTTGAAAGATGCAGTCCACCGTCAAAGTACAGTCAACTTTTGTAACAGAGAATGCTGTTATAACAAAATATTATTATAAAGAGCAAATTCTGAGAATCCCAATTCTCTGAAGTCTTGTGTTTCCCGTGTTTTTCCACTAACACACTGGTTGTAACAAAGTTTTTTGTCATGTCCTTTTAACTTGGTTATAACGAGAGTTGACCGTACACAGTAGGCTTATCTTTTTTAAGTACCTCTCTACAACAGCAAAGGGAGTATGACTCTTAACTAATTGGGGTTTTTTTGGGGGGGGTTGTATTGGATGGTACCAGGGATGGTATTAATTTTTCTTGAGGAGAACGCAAAGATTCAAAGATCTGGTCACATTTCTCATTAAACGTAGCATGTTGTAAGCAACATTGTGCTTCCAAGCAGGAGAGTTGAGATAGAATTTTTGCACTGCAGGATTTAACTATCTGCATAACTTCAGCCTGAGTTGTTAACATTTGTCCTCCCAGGAAGAGCACTACAAGAGTTTATATGAGGAGGAGAAGGAGGCACATGATAGAACAAGAGAAGAACTAGAGGCGACGAAGCAAGAACTCAAAGAGAAGACAATCTATGCAGAACAGCTCAAGGTGCAACATGAACGACAGGTTGTGGACATCAATGCAGCGGTAGGTTTGATCTCGTGCATCCTAGGAGCCCATTCCAGCTTTCATGTCTTCAGTCCTCACTGGATTGGTCATTTTTGCGAGGGGCGAGGTTGCGGCAGCTGGAATTTATTTTTAGTCTGGGAAAGTTTGGAACATCCAAGGCCGCATCAATATTCATTGTTTTGTACTCTTATTGAAATACTTTCATTGTTTTTATTTTCAAGGGAGGCCTGACGCAAGGCAAATACTACAGAAAGTTTTTCTATGAAATGTTTTATGAACAGTTGTATTTTTTATTGAATTAAATTTTTTTTTTCAGCACGAGCAAAGGCTGTCAGTGCTACGAGCAGAAAAAGACAAAGAAATCTGCGACAGGGATGCAAAGATTGAAAAGATGAAGAAACAGATGGCTGACGTCTTGAAAGATAACTCCTGGTGAGTTTGTCTCCGACAGCCTTTGGAAGTAATCCCAATTTCAGCTTTTTTATCAATTTAGGGGATCAATGGATGCACGGAAAAGATTTTTTTCTTTGCCCTGTTAATTGAACACCGAGAAAAACATCTAATTAATCCTAGCTTTCTCTAGATCCCATTGATATTGGTCACAAAAAGCCCTCTGTTGATCGTGAAAAAAATAGATGATCATGCGAGCTTAATTTAGTCATCCTCTTCAGTTGAACGTGGTTGTAGTTTCAAATACATACACTGCTGTGTTCCTCCGTCATGGTCAAGCTAGTGACATGTCATTCAAAATAGTTATTTACATCCAAGTGGTATTTCACGTACACAACTTCAAGAGCTACAGTTTGCAACGCATGTTGCTTTGAGCTTTCAATTAACAGTACACAAAGCAGTGAAGCACAAAGAGTTTATCATTTACAGCTGAATAAGAACTCTGATGCGAACTATTTAGCCTTGTGGGTGTAGTTGTAAGAGAGGGTTATTCACATTGGAAATTGAGCTTGGTTTATGTGAGTAGACCGAGCCATTACCCCCCCTACCTAGTTTATTGTCCACATGCCAATTATGACAAGTTTATAAAAATGTTTCTGCTCCCAATTACTTTCAGGGAGCGTCAGCAACAGCTAGAGGAGCTCACCAAAGAACTGAATAAAATTTCAGATGAAGCCGCAGCGTTAAGAATCCGATGCAAAAACATGTCTTCAAAATCAAAGGTGGTGCAGATGGTTGAGTGTGTACTCGTTTTGTTGGAAATGGCTGTAGGCCCGAAAGAGAAAATGAATTGAACAAAATTCAAAAATTGACCCAACGACATTGACCGGAGGTGTTTCATTTGAGGTTTTGTCATTGTTCCTTAGTCATGTGATAACTGTAGCGCCATGAAAGCAGAGCTAGAGAAGAAGACCAAGAGGTTGGCTGAGAGTGAGGTGACCATCCAACAACTCAACGCACTCTGTAAGAAGTTTGAAACCCAGCTGAAACAGCAGGTACTAAATTGAGCTTGAAATTATCCTTAACCACTTGCTGCCAGGTGGTTTGAAAAATGCAGTGCACATAATCAGGCTTTTCAATTTTCAAAATTCTTCAAAAATTCATCATTTCAATTAATGGACGTTTACACCGGCATGAGTGACTGTCTGGTGGCTGTTCTTGTCTGACAGACAAAATCTATTGACGCCTGAGTATTTCAGCCAGGCCTGCAGCCTGGCTGAAAAAAAAAGAGCCCAGATTATGCGATGTTTTGTAACTTTCTTTTGTTCACGAACCTGGCACAGTGCGCTGCTGACCTCTTTTCAATAGGAGCCAGATTAGTGTGCAGCGGTGCTGCGTGGCTCATCGCTGCGGTGATGGTGCTTTTTGTCCCCGGTGGTAATCTACTTGCACTAAATGCCCCAAACGGTGGTTTACTATTTCAACACGGGTTTGGATTATCTCCACTTTTGAGAGTGGAAAAATGTTGGTAATGCCCAGCAACCTAGTCTTTTGTTCCGAGTACAGTCTTTTGTTACAAGGCCCAGTTCCCTTTGTCCGATTTCGGATACCCCGGCCGCGCGTATAAAGCATACGTGTTGGGTACCGGAAATCCCGGCGGCAAGTGGTTAACAAGTCTATCATCACAGCTTGTGAATAGTTGACTAGAGATGTTAAGGAAATCCTGTGCAACCCCTTGTGTTCAAAAGTACTGTATGCTGGGAAGCTTCACTAATGTTGGAAGTGCTGTGGCAGCCAGAAAGCGAAACCATCAAGGGACAGTTTAAGTGGTACAGTTTTTCTGCCTCCACAGCCATCCTGAATCCTGAATGTACAGTTTTTGTACCGGGGTTGGTTGACAAGCACTTACTAAAGTTTAAGGTCTCTTTCCATAAACCCCACCAGCACTCTCGTTTCAAAGTCTTGCCACAATTAGGTCGTCCAGTTGGACTTGTTTGTAACTGTTGTGAGTCATTCAGTGTTTTGCTTAAATCCACACCCGCGTGTGTACATGTACATCTTTGCTTTTTAAATATTCTTTTCCATCTCTTTCCAAAGGGAAGAGCCGTCATCTTTATGAATTTTCAGATGTAACTCTAACTTAGTTCATTTTATGTACTGCGGGGAAGCCACGTTGACGTTGCTTCTTATGATGGCTTATCATCATCACCAACAAAACTATGAGGGTTTTCGAAACAAGTGGATTTGGCGAAAGACTTTAGTGTTGCTGGTTCCAGTCAGAGCTTGAACGTGTGGTTTCGAACACTGCTTCAAAAGGGCTGGAACCAGCGAAATCAAAGTTTAAGCATTTCAAAAATGCTATATGTCTTTGTTAGAGTATGTAAAATATCAATTTTTGGAAGATCAGGAAATTTTTAAGCTTCCTTTCTTGTCATTTTGCTCAGGATGTACTGCTGAAAGAGTTCGCCGTCAGCAAAGGTTTCAAAACGGACTACGATCCAAAGAAATGACGCCCCTCAGGTGTGTCATAGTCATCATGCTTTAAAGTCCCCGTGATTAGACTCCTGTTCAATGACCCAATGGCAGTATTTTAAAAGGCGACCAAATCCGTGCAAAGTGCAGCATCTTGCAGTATTATACAGCCCTCAGGTCTTCTTACAAAGCTATTGCTTCATGCAACAATATCGAAATAACAGTACATTTTGATTTGATCACATGTAACAGTTTGAACAAGAGCAATTGTATAATGAGCTCAGGCTAAACCTAATCCAACCAGTGTACAGGTAGTTGCCATCACGTCTTGTAGGACTCGGGATGATAAGGTGCTAAATGTACATGTAGTCACGTAGCAGTTTCAGACCTTAATTTACACTGGTTTTTCCTTAAAATTCAAACCATTTCCCCTTTTTTTCCCCAAGGGAAATTCAGGTGCTTTTAAGAATATGCATGTTTTTCCAGTGCGAGATACCGGCTAAGTTAAATGAATATTTGTTACACATGTACCTCATTGACTGTTACCATGAAAGCATCAGATTTCCTCCCCCCCCCCATAGATTGTTAAGCTTAACCCTCCAGCAATCTTGGAAGGGTTGGGTAGTTTAATCGGGGACTGAGACCATCAAAATAAAAAACACAGGAATTCAACCATGATGATTGGAAACAATTTTTTTCACTTCAATGATGAAATGTGCACTCAGTCAGGTTTGCAGTGTCACTTATTCCTTATTTTCAGTACCGTTGCACTTTTTAAAAATTCTAATTCTTGCCCTGAAACCCCACCCCAATGTGGCATTTTTTCCCCCCTCTTCCTTTTGGCCACCTCTGATAAACAATATTGCTAAACATGTATATCCCCATCAGGGTAGTAATCAGGTGAGCCATCATTTGCGGTAGCCCCGATGGGGGTTTTGAGCTGGCAAGTTACCTCTGCTTGCAGCTGACCTGACAGGTGATATCAAAACATCGTATCAGTGTTGGGGTTGAACAGAGAAGAAAACTCACCACTGTGACATCTTTCAAACTAGCCGTAACCCAGGAAGGGACAGATTCGACGGGAGTTTCCTAAACTTCATTTCAAAGAATCAACATGTTTTAACAATTGAATTGTGAATATTTTCAAAAGTGCAGGAGGGTGTGGAGCCACACAGGTTTATTTGGCACTTCATCTCAATTTGACAGCCAACAAATTCCCTTTGGCTATGTAACATGTCAGCAGTGTAGGACCTTTCGTATGAGGTTTATACACCCTTAGCAAGTTTATATATATATATAAAGCACATTTTAAGATGAAAAGGTTGTTCATGCAGTTGGAATTTTAAACTGTACATAATAAAGTAAAATATGAACAAAAATAATATATTTGAGAATGATGTACATGTAAGGTACTTAATTCTGCATGAGTAAAACCATATGCTAAGAATTAGTAGTACTTTTTAGCATTAAAAAATGCAGAAAGGATCCCTGCGTAAAAAGATGAGACTCGAGAATTACATGCAGTGCTGTAGTCGAGATCAATGAAGACCTACACAAGACCAGCACAAGACCTCCGGTCTGAATTCAAGTCACAAGCTATTCCAATGAACTGCAACAAAAGAATTCCTTTGTCCCTGTTCACCCTGTAACTTGTGACTGGCCTTTTGTCTAGTCTTTTGATGGTCTCGACTACAACACTGACTACATGTTACATTTTGGAACATGAAGCTTTTGAGTAGTTAAAGAAGTGTGTAAGCCACTGTTGAGGTGAAGGCATTTTGACATCATCATTGTCAACTACAAGACAGTGTCCTTTAATAGGCTACTTCTAAGGTTGCAGCCGTGGCTAGACATGAATGCACCACTTGTTATTGGCTGAAGCCATAGACACTGTACATAACTCCAAGCCTTAGCCTTGATTCGGAAACTGTGGCTGGATATAGCATACGTCACCGTGTCTGTGGATGTCCAAGGCTCATGGCTGTAGCCACTTCCTACAAACATTCATTGTATTCCCAACCACAGCAAGTTGATTCAAACGTGGCAATATTCAAATAAGCTGTTCCTCCAATCCAAAGTACCTCAACAGTCAACAGATCCCCAGAAAAGAATGATTGCTTGAGTTTCGACTTGTATACACAATCCTTATTTGTATGCAGCTCAGCACAGTGAAGGGCTATATTTACCAATGGAAGCATTAAACTGAAAATTCCGTCCACAAAACAGTTGTGTTCTATTTTAAAAATACTTTGAAATGATTGAATTTGTCTTCATATTGCATGTGCTATTTTCCTACGTGTACATTTGCACAGATCTGTGGAAGAAATAGAATTATGTTGCAGAGAAGAAAATTAAAAGGAATGGTTTATCAATGTATTTTCTCTTCACTGATATTGTCCGTTTGCATCTTTCTTAAGTATTGTTGCTAAGCTACTTGCTGGATCCTAACACAGTCTAACAGTGAAGTATCTAGTGCAGTCATTTTTCCTAGTCCCAGACTCCTGACACAGGCCAACAGTGGAGTATCTAGTGCAGTCATTTTTCCTAGTCCCAGACTCCTGACACAGTCCAACCAAATTTTTGGAACATGAAAACTCTAAAGTCAATATGATGTGATAAGAGATTTGATGCCAGAGTCTATGTGACTGTTGATTAACAAATAGTGAGTGATGTTCTGCCCTGTAAATTGTTTTGTCCACTTTTTGGCTCTCCTTAGTTTTGACAACCCATCCGATTATGTCACAATGGAAGTTGGAAATCCGGCCAACATTCCTTTACTAGAAAGTTTCTGAAAACAAAATGTGCACAAGAGCCAGCATTAGAAAACAGCACTCGTCTGAAAATGTAAGGTAAATAAACGTACATGTAGCTTTCATTTTCAATTGGGAACAATCCACAACTGGGAAAATGACCGACGCTGATTCTTTAATTTTTCTTTTTACTTTTTAAAAGATTGGATATAAAGACCGATGTCATGTAGGAGTGGCAAGGCTAAGTAGTGAAGCCATCAAGTTTAGCAAAGTACAGTCTGACTTTGAAAGATTTGGAAGGTCTGAAAATTTGATCTTCTAAATTCCAGATACTGATCTCTGTGAAATTTGCTTCTGTGCATGCGACCAGTTTGAAAAAAAAAGGAAGTTTTGAAAAAAACAAAACCATGAGTAAGTTTAACCACTGATACGTAATTTCAATGCCGATTGAGGAAAGCCACTCAGAAACATGCCATCTGCCGATTGGATATTTCATTCAGTATATGTGTCTGTTCCAGACACATATCTGCATGTATTTCAATGACCTCAACTGGGTAGCTCTTGAAACAGATGGGGCATGGTGAAGTCTCCTCATATTCTGTATCTTCACGGGCATCACTCCTGTCTGGAGTCATTTGGAAACTACTCCTTGCCAGAGATGCGTTAGTATTGCTTGTCATGCACTTGTTGCCTGGCCATGCCGAAGAAGGCTGTAGCGAGCTGCCAAAAGAGGTGGACTGTTGTGTTGTGAGTTTGCCCCCTTGTGGTGAGCTGGTGATATGTTGTGATGGTGAAACTTCAACAGGCTGGATGAGAAAGCCTCCAGGCTGCTGTTTCCCTGAGTTGGCTGGACTTGAGGCAGCATTCCTTGAAGAGGGATTGGTGGCCCGGCCGCTGCACTTTCCTTTTGCAACAGCACCCTCGCGTTGATAGCGTGGCATCTGTGCCGTTCGCACATGTGATGACACTGCTGGCAGATTATCCTCGGATGCTGCCGGGGAACGCCTCTGTCTTTGTCTGCCACCTCTGCGACCCCTGCCCCGCACTCTCCCCCTCTGTGGAACGAATGAGGCTGGGTCTTTGGTGGTGGAGGACACGTCCATTGCCTTGGCAACACCAGCTGCAGATGGGATACCTTGGCAACAGAGGACGTGGCCCGTGATCTGTCTTGCAGTAAACTGAACTGAAGAATACAAGAAGACATTTCATTGCTACTCAAGGAGGCCCTCAGTTACCATCATGTAACTATTTCCTGAGCATAACAATGGATCATCCTTGAAGACAAAACCACATGTCTATAATGAGACCAGTGACTTACGATAGCATTTTGGGCAGTTTCGGAACTCCATCTCTGCAATATCTGTCACACTGGAGGATGCACTGTCTTGAGAGGTGCTAGTTGTTGGCACGGGCTGTGGCTTTGGTTGACTGGGTGTTGAAGGAGATCTAGGAGACAATAAGAACGTTTATGGAAGGGATTTCCGTAGTGAATAACAGAGGTCTGTTATCCAGATAATGGATTTGTTAAACCACAAATTAACACTGGCTGGGCTCCAAATTCGTGGAAAATCCACCGGGTAACACAGACTTTCGCCAATGAATTCGTACACATTGATGGATTTTCTAAGATTAGTGAAGTTTCCATGCAAAATTGCCCTAGAGATAAACTCAAAGGCAATGTTTCGTTGTAATTAATAGAGCCAATTGCTCACCCATACTTGAGTAGGACGTCAACTCTCTCCACAGCCAGCTGTTTAAGTGTGTGCTTCTCTTCCCTGCTGAGTTTGCGCCCTAACTTCCTCTCCAAGACTGGACGGATATCTAAAACCAGTTAGTGATGTCCATACTTATTTTAACTGTTGAAACAGCTTTTTTTTATCAAATTGTGAATTTTTTTTCTTTTTATTACCTCCCAGTTAAAGCCTGCTAACACTTCTATTTTATTTGAGAAAGAAGTGATGTTACAGAAATTTTAAACTTTGTATTGCTTCCATTTTATATTTACTGAAGTTGACAGTCCTTTCCAGGCAAGTTGACAAGTAAAAGTTGCTTTGATGAATCAACAAGTAGGGAAAGCCTACAGTAGCCTTGGGCTAAAATGAGACCTCTACAGTCACTACAAATAACCATTGAATAGAACAGCTGCTGCTCTTCTATTTGATCCTGTAGGCTTTGGAGGTTTTTTTTGAACACAGGTGCCATCATGAGTGAATGGACAACTTACCAGATAACTTGGAGTCAAAAAGACTGCGACCAAGAGATGCCAGAAACTTTCCAGCAACTTGCTTGAACTGCTCAGAGATTAAATTACAAGATCTCAAACAATGAACTCACAAACTTTGCAAATATTTCAAAAACGATAAAAGCAAAGGATTTAAAAGTCAACTGCCCACAGACCTTGACTCGTATCCCAATGTAAAGATACAAAACCAGACACACATTGTAGGTGATCCCTTTCAACCTTCTCCTCCGTTGCAAATATAAAATATCTCTCGCATACCACTCTTGTTTTTCCCATGTTTGTATCAAACTTGAGAGTTATTTTGAGAGGTTTAATGTTGTAGGAAATGTTCACTCAAAGTACATGTACTTTACTATTTGCTTAGCCAGCTAAGCTATGTTCCTTACATTTTTATGCGTACACAAACAAATACTGATTTCTTAGTTGTGGGGACCATGCATGTGTTGAACCACAGATGCTGCGGGAACAAAACTTGAATGGGGACAAAGTTTTGTCCCTACAACTCAGCATCAACTTTCCTAGCAAGGGAAATTGTCCTCTAATCATGGTGACGGCCTGAGTGCATTGCTAAGCACTCACCTAGATTAGCACATCTGCTATTATGAGGGTATTTCCCATGGAAACTGCACAAAGCCTTCCTTGGTTTATTCAATGTTGGAAATTTCTAAACATTCAATAAAAGGCAGAATTAGAGAGTTAAGCCGCTAACATCACATTAAACTCATCTGTCCTACCCCTAATTTAAACAGAAAAAAAATTGATTTTCTGACTCACAGGTCTATGTGAATCTCCATTCGTTAGTTTACTGGGGGAACTCTCAGCTGGCAAGTTGCTTGGCCTCTTTTTGGGCGTTTTTGAAGTTGAAGTCTGTTCCTTCTCTTTCTGGCAATGAGTGAATCCTGAATGGCTATCCCGTGGCTGTCCACTTGCCCTCCGTTGGCATCTTGGTTCAGAAGATTTTGAAGCCGAGTTTTCATGGCCAGGATGACTGTGCCCATGGGAACTTTGGCTACGGTCACTGGAAGATCGATAACAATTTTCAAAATCGCTGTCCTGTCTTCTTGGTCCCAACTGCTTCCTGCTTGCACTGTAAGGACTGTCTGTTGAGTTGTTCTTTCTGCTTGGGGTGGAGGGAGTGTGAACACTGTTGCCATGGCTACTTGGCTGACGTTTAGGGGTTTGCTGCTTTTTATTTGAAGAGGTAAGAACCATCTTGGCTGACCGGCTGAGCGAATCAGATTTATCTGATCCTGTGTCTGCGGTTGCTGCCATTTTGAGGAGTCTTGCTTTTAGTTCCATGTCACTAAAACATTTATAAACAAAGAACTAGCTTAGGACAGGAAAATTGCAAAACTCAGTCATGTTAGTGTTGTAAGAAGTCTATCACAAGTCCTTTTCAGTTCCCGACAAGTCATCAGGTCATCAAGTCACTAGCTGTCTGAATTAACCATGACAAAATTAATTTTTGTCATTGTTAACCCTGCTATTCAAGTTTTGATCTTGTTAAAGGGCTTGTGATTTGACTTGCGAAATGACTTGTAATGGACTTGCTGTGACAGTGAGAAATAAATCACTGAAAACGAAAAACCTGCAACCAAGCAGCCAAATTAAGCCAAAGTGTGTACAGACATATTATGTAAAAGTTACCGAGCTAAAAACGGACACTTTTTTCACCTGTATTTGTTGTTTTCATCTTTCACGGCCATGAACTGTCTCTGGAAACTGGAATTTGTCTTCCATGATGGAGACAGGATGGGTCTGCCGTTAGGCTTGTCTGTCATGGGAGTGGATTCGGATTTCGAATGCAGCTGGTGGAGAAACAATATTTCAATGGAAGGTTAGGGACAGGTTAAGGGACTCGTAAAACCAGGCAGATACATGTAACTTCTCTGATAAGCACATCTGACAACCAAGGGCAGTATTTCCCTTTTCAAGAATCGCCCCACAGAGTTGCTGGGCACTTAAGTGCCAATCATATCAGGGCATTCTATTACATGGAAACAGTAAGCATGTCTTCAGCACACCAAAGGCTAAAATGTCAGTGGCAAAGTTTGCAGACATTAGTTGTCTGACAAACGGATAGCGCACTGTTCCTGCAACATTCTGCATTACTCTGCTCACTGTTGAGAAACTTAAAGAAATCCATCCCTTGTATTGTGCTGCTTGTGTCATCAGTCATTCATGAGAGCACTGGCAAGATGTCTAAGACTACTTATTTGTGCACATTCAAATGAAAATGTCATTCATGTCTATGCTGTTCACGTGCAAAACTTGACCTTGATATTCATACGCAACATGAATGGCAAGCCAAGTGACCCTTCTTGCTTCTAATGAGAAAGACAAAATGTACATTACCCTCAGCTGCTCTTGCAGAGATGAGACTGCATACCTTTGTCATTGTGGGTCCTGGACTGATGGTTTGAGTCTGTTCCTTGGGTTCTTCTAAGGAGCGGAGACGGATGAATGCTAGACCAAACTGGGCATCCTTCTTGTAGGGCTGGCTGCACTTGACTTTGATGCGATCCCACTTGCCCCTAAGACTTTCCTCACTCAAAGCCGCTGCAAATAAAAAAAAAAAAAAGGATTAAAATCAACATATTATTTCAGACTCAAGAGCAAAGTTGGACAGGCCAAAATCAGATTCAGCAACTCGATTTGAGGAGTTGGAATGAGACACTGGATGTTGGCAGGTTAAAGCTCCAGTCACACTGCATGACTTAAGGTTTTGCTACTCACTTTTCGGGGTTTGACATATAATTCCACCAAGGAAAGAGGATCCAAGCAGTTCTCAAGATTATCAGCCAAATAATATTGGTGAGTCATTGTGTTTTGGAATTTAACTTGGAAACCTTAGCATAAGAAATGCTGTCCAATAATTATAAAATCCAAACCTCCTAGATTCAAGTAACAACTATGTTCACCATTCTCCCCAGAGAGTACAGTCTCCAAAATGATTCAAAAGAAAGCATCATTTATGCCCGGTCTTTTCTAATCTTGACAGAAAAAATCATTGTTGCAAATAATTTTATCTCCAAACCTCACAGATCCATTCCATCAGGTAATGCTCCAAATTGCGTTGTTTAATCTCGTAGCCCCCTGATCTGCTACACCCTGCAAACATTTCAACATTTGCAATTAAATTACTTGGAATTAGTCTCTTAGGAAGCAAAAGATCTACAACCGGGAGCTCATGCACCTTTGGTGAACATTTTGACAGCACACTTGTTCTGACCACTCCTGCTTTCCATCGGTGACATGAGCATCGTCGCAGGGATCAGAGTGACGTAATCATTGCTGGACCAGGAGGACTTTCTAACAAGGATCTCAACGAAGGCTGATCCATAATTTCCTGAAAGGCAAAGAAAGAAGTGATACCGTAAATGTCCTTAATCCTCAATCCTTTGCCAATGTTTCACGATTTGAGCTGTGGCTGAAAAGGCTGCCATGTTTGGATTAATAATTTAAGGTGGATTTAACATTATACCCCCTTCCCCCACTCTGACATTCGGCCCCTTACCCTTCCCATGAGAATCCTGACTATGCTGGCAACAACTGATGGGGTCGTAGAATGCTTAAAAATCTATCTCCGTGTATACACAGTTCTAGTCTACAGGCGTGAAAAGTGAATCGTACCGATGTCCACGTAGCCGATCTTTGCAGCTTTCTCCAGCTGAAACTCGGCCTGCATGGAGCCAGACCGGTCCCCAGATGCACATAGCCACCGTTTCCATTGGCTGCTCTGATCAAGCAGGTTGTCCGCTCTGTGAACTGAATCCTAGGCAAGTGGAATGGGTGGGAATAAATTCAATACACATCTATTTTGATTTTGAATAATTCAAGTGTGCTGGGACAAGTCAGTCCACTCAGAGTGTAGGATAAAGGTTGGGGTATTCAACCACATAAGAAGTTTTTCCATGAAGCTGGTTGAATTCTTCCTGTTGAAAATGCTCCCACTCACCTACATATGAGTGTTAAATTAACCAGGAATGTTTTTCTAGACTACAGTACAAAATGCCTCCACTAATACTACACAATTACTATGGAATAAAGCACAGGCCTAATTCCGCAACCCATAAATCCATATGGAAAGAGTCCATATACAGATTCCACTTGACACCCTGTGCAAAAAACCCTATGAGACTGGTCTGAAAAACTGTATTTTATGAGTAAACAACTTGGTTTTCCCCTCCTCAATTGAAGTTTTCTGGACATGTTTTCGCTTTCTGAAGGCTAATAGGTCAATGTAAAGAATAATTACAGGTGTCCGTATACGGAACTCTTCCCATCCATATGAAATAATGATTCCCCCCCTCGCAAAAATCTAGGCTTCAAATTTCCAATAAATATTTGGGTTACTAAGAGTGATATAGGCCTATGGACAACACTAATTTTCCCTTAAACTGTCGTCAAAAACTGAGAAAGTTGTAACATGTCCTAAAAAGTGAAATTTAGCTGAGACAATTCTGAAGCATTTACATGTACTTAGAAAACAGCTTTTTCAGACAAGTATCAGAGCTTTGTGCACATGGGCATCAAGTCAGCTGCAAGTCCAAGTGTTGTCCGTGGAACTCTCTCCAAAGTTTGTGCCTAGCAGTAAAATGCATACCTATTCTGGTGTACCTATTCAGCTAGGCCTCGGCCTATAATATTTGATGAGTGTCCCAGCGCCCCACCACCCCACACAGGGTCCAAGCCATATAGGCCTCGGCCAACTTATCACTCCTTCCCATTCTGCCCTCCTCTGATCAGGGACTGACATGACTGGGGCCACGGCAGCCTTCCTCACTACCTTGCTGTCCCATCCCCATTCTCATGGTCGGGATGACGTCACCGATTTTTGATTCTTCTCTCTGATTGGTCAATTGGTGGCTATTCCATATTTTACACTCGAAACTCAAAGGGGCAAAAAGTGTTGCCGTCTATGGGGAAAATCTGAATTATTGACTGAACTCTTAACCTTTGCATCAAATGTGCCTGAAATTTCACTATTTGTCATATGCACTATGATTTATGAATATCTCCAACAACACCGTAGGGCCTACCGAAACGGTTTCAGTTATATTGGAAAAAATGTTGCATCCTGACTCCACTTCAGCAGTTGTGTACAAAGTCTATGGGGAGTGAAGAGAATTTTCCAAGTATTTCTCAACAACATCAGTAAATGTTTCTCCGTCCAGAATTTGTGTCTTTCCAGCATTTCTGTAATGACTGACTTTTTAATATTGAGATGATACTGATAGGCCTCTGATGAGAAAAGGGGAGTCAGGAAGAAACATTTTAGCCGTTATATTTATCATGTTGCAGCAAAAAGGAGGAAAAAATGCAAATCCTGTACAGCGGGAATGAAGAGTTGCCTCTTTGCCCAGACGTGAGTGCGGCAAAATGAAACAACCTCCGACCGCGAGAATCCGGATTCCCCACCACGGCGCGAGCGTCATGACGGTGCGCGCTGGTGATGGTCAGCCGGTGATGGTGTGTACATTCTTTTAAAAAAATGACCTATACACCGTTTCAGAATTTGCATGAACAGACTTCTGTATTCAGATGGGCACAAGACAGGGTTTGGTGAAATAGCATTGTGGAAATCTTCGCAAACACTACAACACAAACCTGCGAACTGTACACGATCACCTCCATCAATCTCACAGGTGCCATGTTGAAATCTCGCGCCAAAGATTTCCCCGGTGCCCAGAAACTGCTCACTATAGTGTGGGTAAAGCAATAGGCATTGCCACGATAACACTAGGGACCAGTGAAATAAATAACAAGCAGTCTGGGGGGTTGTCAACATTTTCAGCATGAATTGCTCATGAAACGGGCATCTCTAAGTAGAAGGCGACTGGCTGTAAAAGGGAGTTGGCATTTAATTAGTAACTGTGATTGTTTTCCACTGAGATATGGCTGAACAAGAAGAGTATGACAATCTTGCATATGTACAGGTAACATTTTTTGATCAAGCATCAATGAAGCTGTCTGGGAACTAAAATTTAAGAAACAGGCCATCAGATTTACCGTCACATGTAGTCCTGCCTCCACTTTTTTCATCAGTTATGATCTTAGTGAAGCCTTGAAGGTCAGTCATTGAATGTTGGGAAAGAGTTCCATATACAGACAACACTATTTTTCCCTGAAAATTTTATAGCAGCAATCAGAAAGTGATAACATTTCCTAAAAAGTGAAATTTAGNGCACCCCACACAGGGCCCAAGCCATATAGGCCTCGGCCAACTTATCACTCCTTCCCATTCTTCCCTCCTCTGATCAGGGACTGACATGACTGGGGCCACGGCAGCCTTCCTCACGACCTTGCTGTCCCATCCCCATTCTCATGGTCGGGATGACGTCACTTATTCTCGATTCTTCTCTATGGTTGGTCAATTGGTGGCTATTCCATATTTCACACTCGAAACTCAAAGGGGCAAATAGTGTTGCCGTCTATGGGGAAAATCTGAATTATTGACTAAACTCTTACCCTTTACATCAAATGTGCCTGAAATTTCACTATTTGTCATATGCACTATGATTTATGAATATCTCCAACAACACCGTAGGGCCTCCCGAAACGGTTTCAGTTATATTGGAAAAAATGTTGCATCCTGACTCCACTTCAGCAGTTGTGTACAAAGTCTATGGGGAGTGAAGAGAATTTTCCAAGTATTTCTCAACAACATCAGTAAATGTTTCTCCGTCCAGAATTTGTGTCTTTCCAGCATTTCTGTAATGACTGACTTTTTAATATTGAGATGATACTGATACTCAGGCCTCTGATGAGAAAAGGGGAGTCAGGAAGAAACATTTTAGCCGTTATATTTATCATGTTGCAGCAAAAAGGAGGAAAAAAAGCAAATCCTGTACAGCGTGAATGAAGAGTTGCCTCTTTGCCCAGACGTGAGTGCGGCAAAATGAAACAACCTCCGACCGCGAGAATCCGGATTCCCCCCCCCCCACCACCACGGCGCGACCGTCATGACGGTGCGCGCTGGTGATGGTCAGCCGGTGATGGTGTGTACATTCTTTTAAAAAAATGACCTATGCACCGTTTCAGAATTTGCATGAACAGACTTCTGTATTCAGATGGGCACAAGACAGGGTTTGGTGAAATAGCATTGTGGAAATCTTCGCAAACACTACAACACAAACCTGCGAACTGTACACGATCACCTCCATCAATCTCACAGGTGCCATGTTGAAATCTCGCGCCAAAGATTTCCCCGGTGCCCAGAAACTGCTCACTATAGTGTGGGTAAAGCAATAGGCATTGCCACGATAACACGAGGGACCAGTGAAATAAATAACAAGCAGTCTGGGGGGTTGTCAACATTTTCAGCATGAACTGCTCATGAAACGGGCATCTCAAAGTAGAAGGCGACTGGCTGTAAAAGCATGGAGGTAGAATGAAGGGAGTCGGCATTTAATTAGTAACTTTGATTGTTTTCCACTGAGATATGGCTGAACAAGAAGAGTATGACAATCTTGCATATGTACAGGTAACATTTTTTGATCAAGCATCAATGAAGCTGTCTGGGAACTAAAATTTTAGAAACCGGCCATCAGATTTGCCGTCACATGTAGTCCTGCCTCCACTTTTTTCATCAGTTGTGATCTTAGTGAAGCCTTGAAGGTCAGTCATTGAATGTTGGGAAAGAGTTCCATATACAGACAACACTATTTTTCCCTGAAAATGTTATAGCAGCAATCGGAAAGTGATAACATTTCCTAAAAAAGTGAGATTTACCTAGGAAAATCCCCTTGCATTTATTTAGAGAAAACACTTAGGTTTTTTCAGACAAGCCTCAGGTTTGTGTACAGGGGCATCAAGTGTTGTCTGTTTAATGGAACTCTCTCCAAATGTTGAACTTGAAATGACATGAACCTGCGACTGAAATAGATTTTATATTTTCTTTGAAAATACTTCAAAAATGCATGAAACTCTCCGTAGACTTTAAGTACACGACTCAGAAAGTGTAGTCAGGATGTTGCAGTCTTTCTGTTTACTTTAGCTTCATATCTTAATTGAATGATTCAATACGTGTTTTTTTTCTTTTGGCAGAGATTGAATGCAGCGGTTCATTACAGTGCGGGTCAGATCTGTGAGGAACTCTCCCAAGAGCTCGACGTTACATTCTCCCGTCAGTTCATTGCTGTACTGTCAGAAGCCACCTTCAAACAGTGCGGTAAACGTCTTCAAGAAATGGTTACCTTTAAAGAATTCCATGACATTACTCCGTCCTCCTACCCTGTCCTCCTAAAAGCGAACTGTACTAGAAAACCCTGTAGGTGTGAGAAATCTAGGTTTCAAGTTTAACCAGCGCAGTAACTGAATCAATATAGCTGTGTTGAGAAACACAGTACCATCTATTCAGTCCAACATGCTGTTGGATAAGCAGCTCTTTGATTGAAGGTGCTGGCCTTAAAGTCCAGGCCGGTTAGAGTCACCTCAACCCGTCGGAGAGTTGACATGGAAAGCTTGACCAATCAGAAAAGCGCTGTTTTTTTCTTTAGATGTATACGGCTTCTCTGCAGGTTGTCACACTAAATAGATTTCTGTTCTGCTTTTCATTACTGCAGCTGTTTTTGCTACTGACCTGGAACATTTTGCGCAGTAAGTCACACTTTTCCCTATCAGCTCTAACTTTGAATTTCTAGAGTTAAAGGAATGTTACCAATTAAATCTTAACGCGACCAGTCCTAAATCTTCCGACCGTTGAAGGATTGATGAGGACTATTAGGGTCAATCAAAATCCAACATTTTGTTTGGTTTCCGTATCCCTGCAAAACTTTCTAATTTTGAAATGTGAAATCTTCAGTTAAAAAGATAGAACTGTGTAACTTTGCAGTTTTCTGTTGTTTTTGATACCATTTTCTACAGGCATGGCAAAAGGTCGGTGATAAATGCTGATGATGTGAAGTTACTCGCTCGACGAAGTGCTCCATTGGTTAGTAAAATACCCTAGTCCATTCTCAAAAGTCCCAAGATAACTTTAAAGTCGGCATAAAGAATTCCCAACATCTAGCAGATTCTCTCCTTTCTTGCGTTGTTGTTACCCATCCAGTCAAAGTTCTTGCCTACGTCCATTTGCCACATGCAGGCCAAGCACATCAGAGATCTGAGCGAGCAGCAGAACATGGAAAACGAAGCGGAGAGGGAAAAACGGAAATCCAAGAAAGTCAAGAAGAGCAGCAAAAGTGCCGCGGTAGACTGAACAGCTCAGAATGAGATATCTAATGTGCACACAGGCTTGACAGTAGAACCTCCTTAATACGAGCATTGTTAATACAACATTCCACTTATGTACAAATCTGACAAGACGCCATTCCTGGGGGCCATCACACTCATGCACTTTGGCAAGTCACAACACCCTATTGGTCGGAGAGGAAAGTAACGCGCGTGTACCACCTGCATGTGAACAGGATGGCCCTGAAGTGTTTGGCTTCTCATTCTATCCGCCGGATTTGTCTATAACAAGGACACTCAAGTCTCAGTACATGTACTTTGTTCTTCAACTGTGTGCCTGGACTCGCAAGTTCTGACTGCTCCGAGATAGTCATTACTCATAAACTTGTTTAGGGATGCACTTTCAGCTTCATTGCCGTTTGTACTTGCTCGGGGTTTACAATAGCAACTTGATACCTCATCATGGTACATCGCCATACAGCATGGAATGGGCACCTCTCACTTTTGTAGGGTGATAACCCAATTTCAACCTGAAGTCAAATAACATACCAGGGTACAAGCATTGTACTTTCCCCAACTGTTGGGTTTATTTTTAAATGAAACGGCCTTCAGTAAACAAATTTTGATGACGTTGATTGTAGGTAGCCTTAAAGAGGTTTAATCAGAGCCACGGTGGCTACGTTTACAGCCACCAACTGTACGTCTGTTAGCTTTTGTACCTATTTCAAAGCTTGCCGTCTGTGTGTTACTGGCAGTGATCTTGTTCTAATTTGCAAAGGAACAAATAAATACTTGTGCAAATTACAAATCAAATTTTGGTTTAATGGTGTCCTCGTTTGGTTCAGAGAAAATGAAATTGTGGTGGTTTCCCTATAGATGCTTGAAGATAATAAGTCTAAATATGCATTCTGAAAACATAACCAAAATTCTTGATTGATAAGCAAGCAATATTGTAACAATTTCATTACAAATGTTGAAACTGCTTACATTCAGTTATACTAAAAAGAATACAAGTACATGTTTAAAAATTGAAATGAGCATGACTTTGGATATGATTCTGGCTTCGCATTGAGAACCAAGGTAAAATTAAAATCTCCAAACTCACAAGTGTACAAGTTATTTAATGCAACATTAAATGCCTTCGTTTTGGCGAATTAGGACTTCTAGAACTTTTTTTTACTTCCAAAAGCCTCCAAAGGAATAAACTTAACTTTGCATTGGTGTTTGTTGTGGAAATAAGCCTGTTAGCCCTCCGCGTTGTAAAGGGGGGTAAATTAATTGGAAAGTAAGACACGGGTGGAAGATGCAAGGACAGATTCAGAACCAAATTTTGGGGGGGCTCGAAATTTGGGGAAAGGGAAAACAATCTGTAACGTTTGTGCGACCTTTCATGACCTTTCTGAGGGGTGAGGTTGCATTGACTTGCTTTTTACACGCTTTTTAAGGGAAATGAAATGGACGAAAAACCTGCTTTTCCAAATGTTCAAACAAAGCAACTTTGGGGCGGGGGGGGAGCATGGCACTTGGCCCCTCAGTAGGATGCAGCGTTGTAGTGGAGAACATCACAAATCTCTGCAAGTCCGTCACAAGCCATCTAGCCACGAGTCAAATCACAAGTTATTTCAAGACTGTTACAAAGGCTTCCTATTGTCCTTCCCCCTGATACTTGTACATGTAACTGGTCTTGTGAAAGACTTGTGAAAAGACGTGATGGACTGGATTTATCATTAAGAAGATCTTGCGTCGTCTTAGCAGTGGGTATGCAATCCTGGCCTATATTTACAAGCACGGAAAAAAAAAATAATGTGTCGAGCAAGAACTTCACGTGTACAAGTCAAAGTCAATCCTCTTGGAGTCGTAGAACTGTCCACCAGATCCAACCTTCCGGACCCACACGCCATCGGAGAAGTAATTCTGGTCCACCCAGTCTTGCATCTGTTCACTTTCAAATGGTCCGTACTTGTCGGCATCTTCTTTGTTCTCCCATTTGTACTCCCAGTATGTCTTGTCTGGGTCCAAATCGCTGGCAGGATTGGAACCACTGGCTTCCTTGCTTCCTGAACCGTTGGCATCCTTGCTGGCTATATACGCGGAAAAAAAAAGATTAATTGATTTGCTTGTTACCAGATCACCAACATCAAGCTGGAACAAGACAGCAAAATTTCAAGAAAAACCTTCAGAGAATCATCTTTTTGATACAAATTTCATGCACTAGCGAGAGTAACTACCTTAACAAGTAATCTGTGAATAACATTATTTTTCTCCCATTGATGTTATACAGGGTGTATTGAAAAAAAGGACACCCAAATTTCAATGGTGACTGTGGCTGAGCTACATGCTTTCTAGCAGAAAACTTGGTAGACCCTTATTAGAGTGATCCATCCCCAATTATGAACTTAAATTTTAAGACATTGGTGCTCAGTGATGCGTAACTAACGGTAAAATCAGGAAAGAGGCATCACATGAAAGCATTTGTTCTCTACTTTGAGATGATACCAAGTTTCCGCTAGAAAGTGAGAAGCTTGGCCACAGTAACCATTTAAAGCTGGGTTTCCTTTTTTTGGGATACACCCTGTGTACCTTTCGGACCTCCTGTGGTTATTTTCTCCTTCACCGGTTCATCTCCAAACATGTCGAAGATATCTTCCTCCTTTTTGCTCCGCCCCTCCTCCTCTTTCAGCAGGTGGGTTATTTTCTCGTACGTGTACTGGTACGCCTCGTAATTGCCACTCGCCACCAGCTCGTCCACAAATTCAGTCAGCTTGAGCATGCTCTCTTTGTCCACACCTTGCGCCTTATCCCCATCTTCTGCCTCCTCCATCCTGGCCTTCTTGGGGCCCCACTTCCTGGTCGCCGCAACCCCCTTGGCTTTCTTGCCCCCACCCAGCCTCCTCACTGCCGTGGCGATGGTCTCCCTTGGTTTCAGGAAGCTGACAATGTCCGCCAGGATCTTGATTTCGGGTCTGCCGGGCTCTGGCTCGGGGCTGTCAGGGAGGTAATCGTCCTCCCCTACTTTCTCTTCTCCGCCTTTCCCCGAGACCCTCATCCAGTCAATATTGTCCAGCCAGTTGTCTTGAATTTGCTTTTCCTTCTTTTCAAAGTAGTTACCGTGGGCGTCAAATCTGCCCTCTTCCATTTCCTCTCTCAGGTTGAAAGGGGTGATTCGGACACCCCCCTCGGAAGCCAGAGTAGCATCTTCAGCTCCTGTTAAGGAAAAAGTTCATGTTTGTTTGTGTGTCACTCTCACTACTTGGGGGTGCAGAAATTGTCACTTACCTAGGGTCACACTTCTGCAGTCAAGAATATAAGAAATGCATTCTTTACCACGGGGGTTGAGGACAAACACATATCCGCTTTTCTACTTTCCAATTATTTCAATTGAAAACCACTTTTACTCACATTTTGTACACTTTGAGTTTCGGATCAGCAATTAGACTTCACTCTGACAAACCATGTCCAGAACATGTACACAACAAATGGGTACCAATTTGGTTATCTTTCAATATCCACTCACCCTCAACGTCGTCTTGATGAAGTTCGTATTTGGATTCTTCTTTCTCGTCGTCTTCCTCATCACTGTCCAGTGTGTGTTTCTTGCTGAAAGTTCGATTCCAACCCTTGTCGCTGGCTGGCTCAGCATCCTTGTCTGCTGTGTCTTTCTCCGCAAAACGTACTTTCCGCTCTGCCATGTTGGCATGGGTCTGCTTTGGAGTTAGTGTAACTTACTGGAAAAGTTTGACAATTCAAAATGGAGTAAATGTATGACATCACAACTTATCTTGGCACAAGTACTGAGGGCACGTTACAAATAAACTTGAGCGGAATGAAATGATGGAAATGTTGGTAGGCCTAGGTCTAGTTTTACTGCTTGTCATGCTTGTTAGTACTGTCATGATTGTCCGTTCTTGTACATGTAAGTACTTTTTTTGTGTCTTCCTTGACGAGTCCAGCCTTAACTAACGTTCACGGCCTGGGCAATTCATACTTCCTAAACAGTCAGGCACTACTCCGTAGGCCTAACTGATATTTGATGGTTCCGTACACAATGGCATTTGAAAAGTGCCCTGCAATCGTACCAGAGAAAATCTCCGTTTGCACTTTCTTGATCAAATCTTCCCCTGAAAAGCCCATAGGGCCTAAAATAGGTAACCTATATGAAATAATGAAATAACCAGGCATGTGTGAATTTTGTAGAGTGTAACCTTGGCAAAAACTGAGCTTTTTCCAACCATCCTGACCTACTGTGTATGGAACCATCAAACATCTGGAATCAGTGAGGCCTACTAAGTAGTACCTTACTGTTCAGGAAGCAGGCAATTCACGCATTTTCTACCTGCCTACTGTTTTGAGAATTAAGGTTAAGACTGAATTAGGCCTGTAGGCCTACTGGATGAAGGAAAAACACGTATTCGATCGACTCGCAATACTCGCATCACTTTGTAAACATGGAGGAAGGGATTACCATACCTGACCTTCCTGCCAGACTACTGACTACGTTAAACTTCAGCAACTTTGAAGTTCAAACATCATGAACATGTCAAACCCAGCAGGACTAGTACTACAGCAAGTACAGGGGAAGACACTGACACCGAGTGACAGGTAGACACTGACACCAAGTGACAGGCTGACACTGAGTCACAGGCAGACACTGAGTCACAGGCAGACACTGACACTGAGTGACAGGTAGACACTGAGTGACAGGCAGACACTGACACTGAGTGACAGGCAGACACTGACACTGAGTGACAGGCAGACACTGACACTGAGTGACAGGCAGACACTGACACTGAGTGACAGGCAGACACTGACACTGAGTGACAGGCAGACACTGAGTGACAGGCAGACACTGACACTTAGTGACAGGTAGACACTGACACTGAGTGACAGGCAGACACTGACACTGAGTGACAGGTAGACACTGACACCGAGTGACAGGCAGACATCGACACTGGGTGACAGGCAGACACTGACACTGAGTGACAGGCACACACTGACTCTGAGTGACAGGCACACACTGACACTGAGTGACAGGCACACACTGACTCTGAGTGACAGGCAGACAGGCCTGACGTTAGCAATAGCACTACCATAAGCAGGTTAGCTAGACTTAGAGTTAGATGGACTTTCTCTTGGTTCTGTTATGCCCAAACTATAGCATCAGTCCCAACTATAGTTGGGCTGTCCCAATTACTGAATGCCACATTTGGGCCGGCCTAACTACAGCAGCGCCTGTGTGCATGTTGTGCCCGGTATGTGCCTATCATATTGTTTACAAATGTCATGTCATTGCATTGGACTCATAGGGCTAAATGAACAGATGGAGTGCCACATTCTAGATGAATTTTGTCAAGTGTGAGACACATTGACTTGGATAATGTTGAGACATTTCCCACAGACATGGGTCAACAATAGTTGGGCCAGCCCAACTACAGCACTGCAGTTGGGACTGTCTTAGCCCAGGTTGGACGCTATCTTCATTTCACTACTACTGTCCCTCAGCTCCGTAACGTAATACGGTCAGGGAGTCCACCTGGGCTAGCCCAGGTGTTGGGACTTATGCTACAGTTGGGGTGTACATGTGTAAACGAATCTCTTTCCCTCCCATTTGGCAGGATTACTACACAATTCTATGAGTAACAATGTGACAACATGTAATTTAAGTCAGATCGTAGAGATTCTGAATAAAATAGCCAATGAATTAGGCCTAGCATGCCTAGGTACATTACCAGCTTTACCACAGTAGAGCTTACTGTATCTCTAGACCGATCGACAGTTGGCGCACAATAAGAGCGCCCTCTAGACACATTAGCATTTGAAACACCTAGGTCACTACAAATTTCACATGATAAATAACAATTAACATAACGTTACTAGAGGGCGCTATTACCAAAAACTTGAGCGGCTCGCCGTCCGCGCCGCGTACGAATGCAGCAACTATTAAAAACTAGTGTCGTCTGCTCACGATGGTTTGTGCATACATGTATATCGATACACATGCTACTTTTGTGACTTCGTCCACGATTTACTGAGGTTCATGCTCAGCTCATTTAGTAATTTGACGGAGTTTCCAAGTTCCCGCAGATATGGATGGCAGTAGTGACACTGAAACTATAGTTGAGGAATCTGTGGACCAGTGCGACTCCCCTTCCATCTTAACCGGACTTTCTCAGTTGAGTAGAAATGTTGCAAGTCAAACAATTTTCTGATCTCCCCAATAAGGAATAATAAAAATAACTGAAACCTTTTTGGTACAGAGTGGCAGATATTCATAGCGCATAAATAGTGAAATTTTGGGTATATTTGATGAAAAGGTTGAGAGTGTAAACAATAGTTAAGATTTTCTTCATACATGTTGACCGCATCCTGCATCAATTTTTTGCCCCTTTGAGTGTGAAATATGGAATAGCTACCAATCAGAGAAAATAATCAAGACTCAGTAATGTCCTTCATCTTGACTGCGAGAATGTTTCTTTCCCTAGGTAGGCATGTGAGGATCATACATTTTTCAACTAGGCCTAGGCCTTTTTTTTTCTGTTTTCGTTTTGAAGTGATCTTGGAAGAATGTCATGAGAAACATTTTGATATAAGTTTGGATTCCATTGGACTCTGCAAAGCAAAGAAATACTGATTTAAAGCAGAGATATTTTGAGATGCTTTAAGATTTTTTAACACAAAAATGTATGTGGAATTGATGGAAAAGCTTAAAATTCACATTTCCATAAAATGTTTGCTCTTATTGGAGTCATACTTGTTAAATGAATTAACTGCCGGCTTCGCTTGAAATTTGAAACAATTTGACATTTGAAATTAAATGGAGGAACTGCAACATATAGGTGGAAACTGACAGATTTTAATCCCAAATAAGCAGTGCCCTCATTCATTTATGCATTTCCCTACCATAGGCCTACCATCAGGTATGTTTTTCAAATGTTTGCATCCCGTCTGTCATGCTCATTCCATTTCTTTTTTCTAAGAATCCGCCGGATGTCACAAACTCATCAACCATTAAAATCAAGAGGACTGCTGGAGAAGATAAGCCGAGCATTTGTTACTTCAGCATCTTCTCCTTCAGGAAAAGATGATTCTGGAACGCACAGTTCAAGAGGTAACAAAAATTGTTTTATTTCAATGCATTTACCCTCTTTCTTCACTGACAAAAACTCATAGGCCCAACTGAAGAAATGTCAAGCGAGTAGGCCTAGGCCAAAACATTAAAAAAAATTACAAACTCAGTTTCAACTTGTTCTAAACAAGGCCTCAGTGAAACCAGTTTTGTAATTATAGGCTTACATACTGTACATATTCCTGTCAAAATCTTACTTCTTCATTTTAGATGATACCTCCTTTGTTGACTTATCCCAGTCTAGTGAAAAGTCTCAGTCAATTTTCACACAAAGGTAAGTTCTTTAATGTGTGGTTTTTGCTTAAAAGGTTCTCCATAATGTATTTAACAATGGAATTGTTACAGAGTTTTATGAACTTCACCCATTTTATGATGGGTTTTGCAGGTTGAATCTACTGCTGCCATCTACTGAGTGGCTACAAAAGGGTCTTAAACCTTTACTTCAAATTTTGCAGGGTATCTGCCAAGCGTAAGTCCCCCATCCTCACTGTGCCACCGTCTTCTTCACAAGGTCCGTCACTGAAGATACCAAGATCTGCTGATGACTCATTGAGCATTGATACACACCTTGGTAAGAACTCCCTATTGCTGGCTTTTCGAAGATTGAGGCTGTTTTAGTCTGGTACAGTTACTTCTATGACAACTCACCCCTTCCGCAGTCTAGCCATTACATCAAACTGACTAAGACATCTTGTTTACAAACCCCCTCCCCGTCAAGTGGAAAAGTCCGTAAAAAGTTTAAGCCAATGATACATGGGCGGTCAAGAGTTCAGCTAATTTACACAATGACATCACGGCAATGCAGGAACTTCTAAACATTTAGGGAACTTCAGTACATGCCCTATCCTATCTCCCACATTTTTTGAGTCTGACTGTAAAAATATGTCAGTAATTACAAATATGCCAGGAATGCTGGAGTAAGTTTTCCTCTAAAATTGTAAGGGTTGGAAACATGAGGTGAGGCTGAAATAATTAACATGGAACTTGGTAAATATTTTCTTGCAGCTGTGCAGAGTTCCAGCTTTGGGATTCAAGCAGATCATGGCCAAGTTGCAAGTTTCTCATCATCCCTGGCACTCCTTCTGAATGAACAAACTCAGGCCACTGTCACCAACATCTCTCCTGTTGAACAAAAAATCACATGGCGACCAAACCACCCTGAGGCCAGCCAATGGCAGACCACAAATTCAGTTACGGTTCCTGAAAGAACTAATCTTGTCAAAGAAGGAGCTGATCAACTGGGAGTTCAGGAACTTGCCTCAAGAAACAGGAGTCCTGGCCTGACAGAGGCTACACCTCCTTCAGTTCCAACCCTGAGCCAAAGACAGGCAATAGCAATGCCTGAAGCCATCGATTCAAATCTCATCACAACTCTGCCCACCCTCACACCTCTTAGCCCTGAAGCCCAAGACTGCCATACAGTTTTTAGCTCAACGTCTCTGCTTCACCAGGGGTCATTTCTTAAAGTTAAAGGTTCCGAGAAGGATGAGGATGACGACTCCCTTTTTGAGGTGGAGAAGATGCAGCGGGAGATTAGAGAAAAGTTGAGCAGTAAGGATGCAGACGTTAAATGTAAGATTGAGGATTTAATTACAAATACAAATGCAAATAGTTCATATTTGCAGTGGCTAGATACAGCATTATTAGCCATAATGATGTATTAAATTTCAACAGAAACCAGTCATGAGATTTTAATAAATATGTCAGTTACAATCCTTCTAATTATTCACATAAAAATAATATATGTGAAATTTAGTCAAACATTTTGCTTGACTATTAAAAATACATGTAAATGTGTATTTTTGCATCGCCTCATACATCAGAGAATTTACTTTCAATTTTCAGATACTGAGCAAGTCAAGAAGAGTTTACAAGATGTGCAGGCAAGACTGCGTCGCCTTAGTGCAAGACAACGGGATCACAGACACCAACTAAACATCAAGTTGAAACAGCAAGCCACAGCTCCAAGCAACAAACAGCAACAACAAGAAGCAAGAACACAGCTGCAGAACATGACAAGAAGGCAACAGCATCTTCTGAAGCTGCTGCAATCACACAAAGAGCTCACTGTGTCTCTCCAATGGATGCAGCATGCCAAACATCCTCTGCCTGTGCAAAACGAAGTGTCTGGACAATCAAGGAGTGTTAATGATAGTACCCTGGAGGTTGAGCCAACTGGCACCAAACAGTCATCTTCACCTAAAATTCCTTCAATCAACTCTTTCCTCCCTGATAGAGAAGCCATGCTGATGTCAAACGATAAAGCAGCTATTCCAGCTAGTTCCAATCCACTGTCTGCTCAAACCTCTGGGACCAAGATTCCAAGCAAACCAGCTTCTGATATTTCCTCTGGCAGAAATTTTAAGCCACCATTCAAAGCTAACACTGCCAAAAGTCCTAATCAGCCTGTACCTCCAAGCTCCTCATACATTACGCTTAACTTACAAAGGGATGAGGCAAATTCAGTCTCTGTCGCTGATATTCAAGACAGAGCTCAGTCCATTCCTAGATCTGCAGTCAGAGATAAATCACCGGAGCCCATCACAGAAGAGAAGATTAGCCCCAAGAGTCCCCCATATTTGCCATGGTTGAGCCCAGATAAATCTTTCATAGAACCAAGCAAGGAGCAAAGTAAGGATAGTCATCAGGCAGCAATTCCTCTCCAAACCGAAGGCTTACCAGTTGCCTTGGTAACTGACCATTATGCAACAAGTCAAGGTACCACACTACCGCCAGGGTTTCCCTCAGAGCCCCTCAGCATCACCCATCTGTCAACACAAGCTGGAAACACAACAGAAACAGCTCCATCCACCAGCAGATCTCCTGCCCTTGTTTCACCAGTTCCCAAGACTCCTCACCAATCTTCAATACAGATTTCAACAGTTCCAACCGACTGCAAAAGACATGGGGACCAACTGCCGACACAACTGAGCAACAAGGATCCAGGCTCACCAAAAAGCCTAAAGGCCCCGGGATCCACTCCATCAAGTCAACCAAGACAGATGGTTGTGTATAAAATCAACGCCAGCACTGTAAAAGACCTTCAGAAAAGAAATCCATCAAAGACTTCCTTGGATGCAGTAATAGCCGGAATGCCAGGATCATCAAGCACAGTTCAAACATCGTGTCAAGTTGACAGTGTCACCGGCAGCACACAGCTTTTGAGTAACACCACTTGTTTAAGTTCACCTTCATCATCATGCTGCACCGTGGCAGCAGCCACTCGCACCAACATTCCATCCAATAGCGATATACTCTCTCCTCCCGGAACGGTTGAAGTAACCACCGCTGGTCTACAATCCCAGATGGATGTGATGACCCAAGGAGAGGCCACCGGCCTTTCTGCATGCCAAACACGGGCACCGAGCGATCCCCAAGGAACAGCTGAAGTGCAGGCTCAGACAGGTAGCCAGGGAAGGACGACTGTGGTAGATTCTTCAAGCCAGAAGAACAAGACTCTGCCAAATCACAACAGAAGAGCCCACAGTACCGAAGAGGAAGTTCCTTCCTTGCAGAATTTACTTCAAGAGAGACTCATCCAGCCAGGGGAAAATGTTCTGTTGGTCAAGTTGAAAGTGAGCGCCAAAATTTAAGACTGTGAGATATGAAAAGCAATGAAATATTAGTAAGAGGTGACAGGTAATCTGGGTTGTAGGGGTATGCTTTGTTTTTTGGGGGCTCTGAAGATTCAATTGAAAACTGGATTTTTTTTCAAGAAGCACATTTTATCAATTTTAATGTGTCATTTCTTAAAGCCCTGGTTTTCCTGCCTATGAATTATCTTTTTGTTCGTTTGCAGTTATAAACTATGCTGTGCAACGCCTTTCATAAATCAATCCTTACATTATTTTAAACTTGACTTTCCCTAAATTTTCTCTCGACATTTCAGAGGAAAGCAGTGAGTGCCTCACTCACTATAGATGGAACAGTTCGCCCAACAACTGTGCTAAAGAACTTCACTTGTGGCTCCCTGCACCAACTAGTATCAATGGTGCAACACAAATCAATCAGTTGGATCAGAAAGAACCCAAGTATTTGGAAGTCTGTCCTCTACAAGGATAAGCCTTTGGAACAGCTGCATGCTGATTACAAAGGTGAGGGTGCGTTATTAGTGATATGCTTTTTAAATCTGTCTCTGCTTCCAGTGGTATTCAAATACACATTTGCATACAGCGAAACCAAAAATTTGGGTTTTGAAGAAGTTTTGGGTTCTAAGGGTTAAACTTTCTAACAGTTTAATGTATGCATTTGTGGGTATCGGTTTGAAGATATGCTATGGAAGAAACTTTCAAGGGATACAGTGGATCTTATAATGAACCAGAGATCTCAGCTAAATTTTGATTTGGGTGACTGGGTAGTCCTCGGAAAGTTTGAACTTGCCTTATTTTGAATTTTGCAGTGTCTTCGAGAAAATCTAGTGCTTCTGTTGTCAGGATTTTTTATTTGACTATGCAGCTCTACTTGCAAGAGACCATCAGTTTCAAAGTCAACAGGTTGCTGTCAAGCAAAACACACAGGCAACAGCCACCACAAACATGATGACCACCCACGCCAGTGTTCATGTGCCGCCTACTTCAGGAAACCACACTAGCTCCGCCCATGCACCTCCTAGGCGGCAGACTCTTGTCTCAACAGGTCTGGATCTCTCCTCCCAGAGTGGTGTTAGAGTGGCGAGAAGTAGTGACCTTACTTCAGCTGCAGATTGTGACATCACCACATCGCTAAGCAACAGTTCTCCAATCAGAGCAGGCCTTGCTTCATCGATGGAGAAGGTGCTTCTTATTTCAGACGGTGAGCTGATGCCAGCACCTTGGGGGGTCTCGTCAGACAACACCCAGAATTCTTCCATACCCCAAGAATGGATTGATGAGATTGACATCTGGACTTAAAATCATCAAGAAAGTTCAGGTGGTATCAAGAAATAAACCACAGTGAACAGATCAGACAAAACCAAAGATGCAGAAAGTAACCACGCTTGGGCCTCCAGGCTTGAAAAAGCATTGAACTCGCAGATTACATACTGCGAATTAAATAAGAATTCTATGATTTTTTTTGTCAAGTAATTAGTACAGAGGTCAAGACTTGTGATTTCCTGGTTTTAATACTTAGTTCGCAACTGATCTTTGTGAAAAAGTGAAACAAAACATAAAACTTGAGTAAATAATTTCCCCTTTAAACTCACCAAGAAGTATATTATGGAACAGGGTGTCAACTTGCTTTTTTTCTTTTACACTTTTAACAACATTTATTGTTAGCTGAACTGCACGTAATATACATGATCCCACAGTTTCAACATAACCTAGCAGTTTCATAAATACATTTGCTTCATAAAATTATAGGAACTTTTTATGTTATTGCTTTGAGCTACCGTTGCACAATATGTTCCTAACAGCTCTTTCAAGTTTTTTCTACCTGCCTGTTCGAACACTTTGCAAAATGTGCCTTTCATGTGAAAGTACTTATTTACAGTAGGCTTTATTCTACAGACCATTTCAAGGTTTCAAAGTTTTATAGGAATATGAATAATTTCATGCATGTAAAATTGGTTAATTTAAAAAAAACACACACACTGGTCACATGAAATGAATTACTATTTTAATAAATTAATCAACTAATCTGGGGGCTGATCATCCTTACAGCCGGGAGACTGGATTGTGAAGAATGCAGCTACAATGTAGTCGAGCCAACATCATGTTAAAGTGCCTTAATGAAGCTGCGAGATAACCCATATTTGACCACAAAGCACAGATAGAGACTGAAAGTGTTGATTTTGTTGGGGGGGGAGGAAAGAGAACTGGAGAACCCCGGGATGCCCCCCCCCCGGCACAGGAAAGAACCAATGAGCAACCCTACTCATTTATGGCCCCAGCCAAGAATTGAACCAAGGACTAATGTGGTGAGAGACAAACGCTTTACACACAAGACACCTGTGCCAATCATGTTGTTTTCACCGTTTTTTTTGATGGAAAATCTCAACAAAATTCGATACAGCCATTTCTTTTAAAGCAGTTCGTGCCCAAATCTAACCTCATAAAAATACATGGACAATTTGGTGTCAGTTTCGATCAATCTTACATTTTTTTTCTCATAGAATAAATAACATTAAAATATTTCTATTTTGTTTCTCAACCTGCTCTAACATTCATGATTTATCTACAAAATCTGTGACTTTTACTTACAGAATATAAAAGAATATAATATGGTTTGAACTTGAAAACATCTATCTTTGTTCCAAAATGCTTCTGTTGGTCAAAAATACATTAACACAAAATGTTTTCAGCTGGCAAAATTTAAGATCTCTTCCATCTGTATTTCCTGTAAGTTGACTTTCTGTTTACATGAATGCTCAAAAACACATTGTGTCCTTGAGCTTCACATTCTATCTTTTTTTTTCAACAATGCGCTTTTTCACCGGGCTAATAAATATCTTATCAATGGCAGAAAGTTCCAACTACAACAAACTGGCAACAATACAGAGTAAGTTGGATACTTGCAGTTCCCGTTTTTACCTTACATACCAGGTTGGAAGATAAATATTTAATGGCAAAATTAAATACCTGCAACTTTTGGTGGCTTTAAAGTGGTTATAAAAAGAATCTAGAAGTCCACTTTCCAAAATGTTCACAACAATCCGGTTGAACAGAACATGAGTACACCACAATTAATTTTTTAATTCTAGTAACATGGTTATTGATTTGTTCACTGCGTGGCATTGGGAGAGTTCTTTTCCTTCACCACCTTGCTGAGAGCGAGTGCCAATCTGGACGAGTCCACTGGCATCGTGAACGCCTTCCCTGTCAAAGTCATACAAAATCAACCAACTGTATCACTTCCCTGTTCAAATGCAGACATTTAGAGAGAACTTGATGACAGCTATCAAATAATAAAGTCCATCGATGACTTAGCGGCTCAAGGGAAAGGACTGTCAATATGGCTGTTTGTTGGCAACGCAGCATATTGGATTCATGTTAAAGACTAGGCCAGGATGAGATACAATGGACAGGAAGAAATCAAAGCGCAAAAAATACAGGAGTCAGTTCACTGAAGGTAAAAGTCGATCTTGAACTCACCATTCCAGTGTAGCAACTCCAATTCTGCCCTCAGTGTATTGCACTCGTCGTTGTGTTCCTGTGCTATCTGCACCAGTTGGCACAGGTAGTCATTGTTACAGCCACCTGAAAACAGTAAGTTAAACACTTTAAGACAAATTGAGGGGCCCATATTGCCACATCTAGTCTTTCCTTTAGATAGAAATCATGGTTTTAGAGATGTCAGAAGATAACAGTAGCCTAGATATCTGCCCCGTGCTGGAACACGGGAGGGCGTGTTTTGATGCACTGTCCTTTTGGTGGGAAAACACCACGTGCACAAAATGGTTCATTCACGTTTGGCACAGGGCAAGCAGACCAATTTCTGTTGAAACGCAGAGTTTTCACGAGTGCCACAGGGAAATCTTTCCCATCAGCCTCTTCTCTGCTAGTGAGGGGCTGTCTGTGTTTCTAGTAAAGGTAGATTGTGGGGGGAGGGGGGACAGCAGCCGTGACCCCACCCCCAAAAGGGAGGCAATTTTTTTTAATGAGAGAAAGGTTATGGGGGGTATTCTTTCATTTTCCCTTCCTTCTCAGAGCGTGCAAAAAACACCAAAAATATTGCCTCATCCCTAAGAAAGGCCATAAATAGTAACACAAGATGAAACATTTCCTCCTTGCTCCCACCCAAAGTTTGCCCCTCCCCCTGAAAATTTGATCCTGGATCCATTATTGTCATCTGGTCAGAGTGGCCCCCCATGTACGACAGAGGCTGGGCTGATACTTGGATGGCATTTCCATCAGGTGCCTGTTAACACTAGTGCAAAGACCCTATGCATCCCCTCATTTTCAATTGGAAACAACTCTTGCAGACCACAGTGTCTTGTCATTGCTAGTTAACCAACAACCACCTCTCCTAACAAGAGCATCCCATCAAACTCAGTACTTCGGCACGATCACCAGCGGCAAGACATCCAACCCACCCTGCGTCTTCCTACCTTGGGGAGGCAGTATGCAGTAGGCAATCACGTCCCTCAGTTTGGTCACTGCATCGCTCTCTTTCCTGAGCTTGGCTTCTGGCTGGCCCTCGACTACCCTGTTGTCCACCGACTGGCAACTGAAAACAAACCGTTGCACTGCTGTACTTGTATTGCCAAAATGAAAGGCCAGAATCAGTCCAGAGTTCTCTGTTCACTTTTGGCCTTAGGTGATAAGCACTCCTGAGTTCAAGTCTTGTCCCAGCTATTGTGTGAACTGTTCTTTTTAGTCTCAGCTAAACTGAAATTTCTCTCCTTTATCTCCTGTGCATTCACAGGTGAGATTGGGAAAAGAACAGTGCTAAATAAGAACTATGAAAGAACTTTCAAATACAATGGAGTCCCTTTCTGAAGAAATTCTTGCATTTTGTGGATAACTAACTAAGTAGTGTAGCAATTGACACTTGTGGCGCAGGGTAGGGTTAGGGGTGTCAGGGTGTCTTTTGGACACCACATAGGTCATTGTTGCCACCTTGTTTCATTATGTGAATGCAAGAGAACATAATTACAGGAATGTAAAAGAAAGAAAATCTTAGCAACTTGAGGGGCCCCTGATTTCACTTCAAGACAAGTGTGGACACCCAGTTCCAAAGTTCTGGCTGAAACCTGGTTGGGGTGTGACTGATTTACCATTACAGTTAACTTCTTAACACTTTTGAATTAGCCACACTACATAATACAAAGAAGCCAGAGCAGCAACAAAAGTCAGACAGTCATACCATGACCTAGCCCGTTTCCTGATGATGGGATTGTCAGCCTTAGCCACTGGCTTCAGGACGACTCTCTTCTGCGGTAGTCGCATTGACGTCAGCTGCTCTGAGTGCACCCTCATGGCCTCCTCCATCAGGTTCTGATGAATATTCAAACCAGAGCAATGATGTTTTTTTTAATATTTATTTTAGGCAAACCAATCACAGTGAAGTAAGGCACCAAATACATCCCGGGCACCAGACAAAATTCGACCAGTGGTTGACAAGAAGCCGTTGATCAAACTCAGCCAGAGGTGGCCATGTCACAGGACGGCCTAACCCTCACCTTGTCCAGCATGATGGCTGGTGAGTTGAGTGCCCTGTTGGATGCCCTGTTTTCTTGCATCCACGGGTGCTCCATCAATCCATGGACGGTAAGCCTCTCCATCGGGTCAACTCTCAGTAATCTCAAATAAAATCAAACATTTGCCAATCAGACATGTCAGAATTTAAGACGAGAATTTACGTCGTTTCTAACAGCGAGGCTGACACAAAAACATGTCTGCTGTGCAATCCTCATTGAGGGAAGGGTTTAAATGTGACGTTACTGATCTGAAGACAAAGTTTTCCTCATTGCTTGAGTTTAGAGGTAAACTACACTGGTATATTCAGGGTTTTGATTTTGAGGGGGTCAAGTTTTTCAAATTGTTGAATGAGAAGGGGTTTGTTTGATGGCACCGATTATAAAGTATAGCCCGATCACGCTCAGCCCTGCTAACTGGTGAATTGTAAATCATGGTTAAACGTAATGATTGGAAAAAATGAAATTAAAGAGGAACAAATTTTACTTGTTGACAACGTCTTTAGCTTCATCAGAGATGTGTGCCCATTCCTCTGATGGGAAATCGTACTGGCCAGCTAGGATACGGTGGCACATCTCCCGTGATATCTTTCTGCTGGGCGTCTCAGGATAGAATGGTGGGTAACCGCATAACATGATGTAGATAATGACACCGACGGACCATATGTCACAGCTCTGGAAAAAAATGTCAGTATGTAATAATGAATGACCTCACAAGAGTTCTCATTGGTCAAAACTCCAAAATCTTAAATCTAACGAAAGTCCTGATTGGTTATCAGATTTCTTTTAACCCTTGCCATGATACAAGTATTTGCAGTATAAATCCCCTTAAATTCCAACAAATTCTTTCAATCTGCCCTGAGCTGAAATGCACCCTCACCGGCGAAGACAGACAGATGGTACTAAGTTTTCCAACCAGGTTCTAGCATGCATTCGGCACGCAAAGACCACACATTCTTGACTAATATCGTTGCGTGTACTCAACGTGCTCCACGTCAAAGGCGCACAAACTTGCACACCTATGCAGTGTGTGAGTACCAAAGGACTGTCAATTTCATTTCAAAACACGCCCTCTTTTGTTCCTGCTCAGAGCGGATACAGTAAATGTAAAACCTACTGGGAACTTGAGTATCAGTCAGGCAGAAAAGAAGGTTTATTGCTCGACAAAAATGCTGCTTAAACATTCTAGAGAAATTTTACAATTTAAGACAAATGGTCTCAGCAAGTACATGTATACAACCATAAAAACTGGTTTTCATTTTTGTAAGAATTTTTCCATGTATTTTAAATTCTTTTAATTTTTTCAAAACTTCCAACAGAAGAACTTGTGTGGTCAAACATGCATGAAGGGTACACACTTAGGGTTCTGATTGGCTAGAAGTTTTATCGACATTGTGAGTACACCTGTCTACCTTATCATAGGTGTAAGGACCTGGTGAGGTAGGGATGATTCCTTTCTCTTCCCTCCTCTGCCTCCTTTGAGCTTCTAGAACCTGCAGGAGAAAAACCGACACATACATGTATTTTCTGGGCTCACAAAATTCTTTACACTTGCTCAGAGGACAACGGTCCAGCCATATCCGCCAAACTAAAAGTAATATAAACAAATAAGCAACAATATCCAAGCTTTCGCTCAATTCCCAGAAAGTTTAATTCAAAAATATACATGTACCCCATTATTTTGTTCATACTTCATAATGCAATACTGTTTCCATCTGTCAGATTCCCGTTGCACGTAGTTCTAATGTAAACCAAATACACCGTACTGCAGCTAACATGACAGCAACGTCATACCGACAGGGCAAGGTTTCAACGGCTGAGAACATAAATCAATACATACGCTGTACCAAAGCAAGGATAACTGTTTGTTGCTTTTTTTAACTGGAACACAATATTTACTACAAGCATTTGAAAAAGACTTGAATTGAAAGAAAAAAAGGTGGGATAAACTAGAAGAGTGAACGGTGAGCCTGATCGTGTAAATGTACAAGAAATCCTGTTATTTCACCTGTGGAGCGACATAGTAGGGTGTGAAGTGTGGTGTAGCTAACGTCCCATCATCCACTTTGGCAAATCCAAAGTCTGACAACTTCACCGGTGAATTCTATCAAGGAAACGCAAACAGTTGTAACATGGTGATGGTACCTGCCTCATTGCTGATAATGTTGAGGATTTCTCCTTGGCATCTGCTTTTAGCAATGGTTTTTATCGTTTCATCTCTGAAAGCAGCAATGACTAAAAGAAGCGACAATGCAGATAAATGTCACTTTCAAGCCATGTGTATTTACCGAATGTATTTTTAACTTAAACAGCATCAAATGATAAGGGGAACATAGCCCTGAAAATCCATTAAAGGATATGGAAAAATATTAAATGACTAGCAATGTTCCGTCTTTCGTAGACTGGTTTGGGAACCAGTGCCATCTTTGTACACCAAAAATATCTATAATAAAATAATTCTGAAGCTAACTGACAGTACTGGGAAGTTATGTATTTTAACCCAATCACAACCTCCCCATCCGGACAATGAACTGTTCCAATCCAATGATAAAAAGGCTTGCTGGCCAACTTCTGAACACTAAATGCATTCTCAGACAGAAAGAGATGGTCAGGGTTAAGAGTAGTCTTGTCGATGGACATATAAATATAAGGATGTGTTTGGTTTGAACTCTCAGCCTTCCAGGACAAAAGTGCAGGCACTCAATTAAAATGCGAACAAGGCATGATGGAAAGTGCACTTCCAATAAAATTACGAAATATTTGGAATCGGTGATTACCTCAGAATTATCCTTGAGAAGCAGATTTTCTGGCTTCAGATCTCGGTGGGCTATGTTCAGTGAATGGCATCGCTGTATAGAACTGGCAATCTACGTACATGAACAGATTCTTGATTGTTTTTCTCAGGTATGATCTGTTAGCTTTTTCTATTACAAAGTTCCTAGTGGTTTAGGCTATTGTTCGTCAGCCTGGTCCATTTGACGGCTTCACAGAATTGATTCTGAGGAAAGGTCATGCAGTTCCAAACTATAAAGATCCCTTTCCCCCACCGAGTCCCTGACCCTACGCCCCATCCTGTTTCCAATCATGTTCTCCATCCTTTGTGCCCAAGAATTTGAACTTTCTGCTGACCTCTGACTCAGGTGAAATCTTTGGAGCCACAACTGCAGCCAAACAGTTTCCAAACTTCATCCCCTGTGCCATCCTGTCTTCTCATCCTGATCCCCCACCCTAAATGTCTACCTGTTTGGCATATCTGACGGCCTGTGCCTCGGTGAACCCCTTCTGCTGACTGATGCGGTCAAAGAGCTCCCCACCATCCATCAACTCCATGACCATCAGGAGCCTGGCACGTGGATGAGCCTCCCCAGGGAATTGCACCTGTCCAGTTGGAACAAACTACAATATAGTTAATTATATATAACGGGTTTGCCCTTACCCAGCGTATATTTATAAGCAATGTATGCTCAGTGCTTTTCCGAGAGCTTGCGAAAAAACCTCACAAGCTTACTCGGGTGGGACTCGAACCCACGACCTCCTGCTTACTAGTGCAGGTGTTTTAACCACTCGACCACCGAGCTTGCCGGGGTCGGCTGGCCGGTCCGAGTCAAATGAAGCAAATTATTATTATTATTAAGCAAATTATTATCAAGATTTTTTTTTTTTTTTTTTTGCGTTGGGGAGATGTTAATTATATATAACGGGTTTGCCCTTACCCAACGTATATTTATAAGCACTGTA